AGTTATGACAGAAAAAACAAACAACGTAAACCTATAGGGCGTCGGCGAGGCGCTTGTGCAAAACTCCGCGCTTCGCGCGGAGTTTTGCGGCACGCGCCTCGCGGGGAGTCTACGGGCTCTGGGTCTGGGCTCGTAAGTTAATCCTATTCCAATTATCGCTGTGATGGGCATGCCCGGCTTCCTCCGAAGCAGCAAGAACATCCACGGAGAACAAAGGTAAGGAGCTAAAACAAACGAGCATAACTTTGTCAAATCAAGTCGGATTTTGCTGATTTTGGTGTCATTCGACTCAGCTCGAGGAGCTCTTTCGAATGAGCTATTATTTGCATATTCGAATTTTTCACCCCAAAATCGAGCTTACTCCCCCCTATGGTTTTTCAATTTTTCAGGACCTATAACTCGACCCATAGTTACGTCCCAATCGATATTTTGATGTCATTCGACTCAACTCCCCGAGCTGAGTCGAATGACATATAATTTATCCTAATCGGAGTCTGTTTAGTATTCCGAAATTATACCAAAAGTTACAGCTCGATAAGTGCAATGATTCGGTGTTTTTCATAATTTTCGACTCATAACCTTCTTAGCAGTGATTAACCTGATCCATCCTGTTGAAAAAAGGTAGTCTTTTTTCAAGAGCTTTCGGACGATATAAGAAACGATTGGATTGGATCAAGAATAAAAAAGTTATAACCGATCAAAGCTGTCTGCCTCTCAAGCGCCTATACTCAACTGACCAAGTTTCATGGGGAAAATTAAAACAGACGTTTAAGTTCTATGCGCTAAAACAATTACAGTATTATTTATTCTTCAAAGCTGGTTTAATAAAATAAAATCAGAATTAAATAAACTTTAATAAAACCAGAACAAATAGACTTTTTTTAAATAAACTTTATTTCAGAATTTATGAAATTTGAATAATTATTAATTTCAATTAAAGATGCATTAATTGGCTCTACTTAATTATTTTACTTGGTCTAATTTATGTAAAAAAATTTTTTAATTTGAATATAGAGCCTATATTCTGTTGATTAAATTCAAAACCTGATTTTAATTATCTTCACATCTACTTAATAAATTTAAAAAACTAATTACTGATGCATTTTAAATTTTTAAAAAAATTCTGTAAAAAATTTGAGTGAAAAGTGCAGTTGTGTAGTTTATGAAATAATTGATAATAGAATGGGACATTGTCATTTTTCAAATTTTTTAATTAAAAATAGTATTGCCGACAATTTTCCTTATTAAATTAGTTAAAATGTTTAACCTTGTAAATGTATAGCAGGGGTGTGCCGAAACAGATTTTAAAAAGTGAAAGGCGAAAAGTGAAAATGCGTAAGTCAGTTTAGAAAGCGAACGGCGAAAGACGAAAGTCAAGAAAAAGGCGAAAGGCGAAACTGGCACATCCCTGCTGTATAGGGTTAGAAATTATTCAGAATATATGTACATATTTCAAAATTAAAAATAAATAAACTTGAAATTATGATTAAAGTTTATTTCCAAGTTTATTTGAAAATTCTGAAATAAAATTCGGAAATAAATAAACTTGAATGTATTTTATAAAAACTTGAATAAAAATACACAGAATTTTAAATATTAAATTTTATTTATTTAAATAAACTTGAAATCAGAATTATTCATTTTAATTCAAACAAGCATTATGTTTAAGCGTTTGTACTACTTTTGGGATACATAAAAGCTCATGGGACGCATGTCTTAAGATAAAGAAATTTATTTTTACCATTTTGATTTTTTGACTTATGTATTATGTAAAGTGCTTTTAAACTTTAAATTTCTTAATCAGACTGTAGATTATGTAATAATTTTTATTTTTCCCAGACATATGTATTTCCTTCTCTAAATTTAAAATTATGGAGTGCAAAATTATATTAAATATTTACTTAAAAATTATGTCCACTGTGTATATTTAATTACCTTTTCATTTTAATAATTAAAAAATAATTTTTATTTATTCTTAAAAGTTAAATTTAAAAGTAAAATTAAGGATGAAAAAATACTTTTTATTTTTCAATTTTTTATTTATTTTTCTTTTATTTTTGCTTTTTGTTGGAAAAGTTAAATTAGTAAAAACAAATAAAGACAAAAATATAGATGAAAGAAAATCTGGATCGAAAGGGAAAGGAATTGCAATTGAAAAAGGTTAAAAATATTTTGTTAAAAATTTTAAAGAATTATCGAGGTTTCTCTTATATAGAATACTCAAATCCCTCAATATACCTTCCCACCAAGATTTTAAAAAATAAAAGATTTTGTGTTTAAATAAAATAACCCATAAAAATATTAAAATTTAATTTCCTCTCTAAAAATTATTTTTTTAACAAATAACAAAAATACAGAGAAAACAAAGAAGAACAAAAGCAAACCACAATTGATTTCTGTTGATGAATCTATGTTTAAAAAAATGGTCCAAAAATGTAAATTTTTAGTTTTAAATATTATTGTAAGAATAAATATTTTTAGATACAGGATCTAAAGAAATTGGAGAAACCTCCGAAAAACAACAAAAATCTGATAAAGATTTGGAAATTTTTAGAAAACTTTATAGTAAACAAATATTTAAATAATTTAAAATTAATTAATTTTTAGAAGAAAATAAAGTTCCATTTCCAAAAGAATTATTACCTCATTTTGGAGGAGGTGAAGGAGGTGTTTATCATCAAATCATAACAGAATTTAACAATCAGCATAGAAGTTTAACTCATTTAAATTCTTCAAATAATAGCAATTTTGGTTAATAAAAAAGATTTTTAAATTTAAATTTAAAAATATTTTAAATAAATAAATTTAAAAAATAATATAATTGTTATAGAAAAAATAAAAATAAATTTAAGCAAGCTAAAAGAGATTTTGGCTTGTTTAAATTAAAAGCATCTGAAAAATTTGAATACATTTCAATTTTAGCTTTTAATTATCAAAATAATTATTTATAAATAAGTAATTTCGATTAACCTCAAAAAAACTAAAAAATTTTTAAATTATTATACTCTCTCAAAATAATTTGTAGCCCAATCTTCAAATCAAAACATGGAAAATATAAGTAACAACTTTCATTCCCAACTTCAATTCAATCAATTAAATTATCATCAAGTACCCCAATCATTCCATCAAGGAGTTAATTTTGGAGGAAATCATCAACATCAACAATATTTGACAAATTTAACCCAACAATTTCAAAATATTCCAAATCAACAAATTCCCCATCCTTATTTCTTTAATCCTTATAATCCTATAAATCATTCAGGTGTTGGACCTTCACGAATAAATTTAATTACGCCAAATGAAGGTAGCATATAAATATTTAATTTTTAATAATTATCGTCATCAAAAAATGCCAGGAAAAGCTAAGGGAAAATTATAATAGAATTTTTTAATTAATTTCATCTTAATGGAAAGTTAAGTAAATTATCTTTAGGATAAACTAAAAATAAAATATCCCGTTAATGACTGTTTTAAATCTTTTAAATGAAATTCAAATTGCGAATTTTGTTTTTTTTAAATTAATTTTTTATAAACTAAATAGATCCAAACAATTATACAAACATCGGAAATTCAAAAGCTTCAGAAATGTCGGAAAAAGCTAAAGGAAAATTACCATTTGATGGAAGTAAATGATTCGGTTGAAAAAAGTTTTTTTAATTTGAGTATTTTTTAAAAATATGTACATATGTATGTATAGCACAGGGTCGGTAGGAGCACATTCTTCAAAGTCGATGAGAATTGAAATAGTACCTATATTTTAACCCAATATCCAAAATTCCATATTCGAGCTTATGAACATAAACTGCCTTATTTTGACGTTATTCAAATCAGCTAGAAGACTTATTTGATTGATACTATATACTTTGCCTACATGTATCTGACATACAGTCTTTAAATCAGTCGAATTTATACCAAAAAATATGACCAAACTTTAAGAAAAAATAATCAAATTAATCTATAAAATTTAAAGACATTTGATAACAACAATTTTTCTAAACTGTTATAATTAAAATAAAAAATAACTATCAATTTTCATTGCCTTTAAAGAAAGTTATGGCAAAAAGAAAAGTGCTCCTGATCTTCCGCATCCTGTAATTATTTTTATATATTTTAATTCTTTAAAGTATTAAACTTTTCGGTCGAATATTGGTTCCTTATATTCGAAGAGTTTAAAGGATCCACCGACACTATTTTATTCAAGCATTTTAAAAACATTATTTTTATATTTAAATATCTAGTATTAGTTTTATATTTTTAAATTTCACTTTGATAAAAAATTCATTGATTTAATTCACCCATATATTTATTTTTTATTTAAGAATTAATTTAAAAAATCCATCCAAGTTTTAGAACATTAAGAAAATAAAATATTAATTATAAATTACCAAATTTCTAAATGACCCAATTTTTGTTAAAATTAACTAGTTGTTGTTGTCAGTATTTTATCTGCGAAAATAAACGGGGGGTTTAGTATATTTAGTACTTCTTGTTTTGAATTAAATCGGGAATATAAAAAAAAGAGTGATCAACATCTTCTATTTAAATCTGCCACATTTTAATTATTATATTATCGAATATATAAATCTATTTATTTAATTGGTTAATACTAAAAAACAAAAAATATGTTTATTATATGTATTTTTAAGGGTATTTATTTTTTTAGAAATAATAAGAAAGAGAAATTTAATTATATTTTAAAATTCTAATAACATGGCCTATCTTTCGATACCCCCAAAAAGGGTCATTCAAGTGGAGAGACCATTTAGACCAAATACATATTAGATATTTCTTTTTATAATTTTGCCTTTTTTCTCCATAAAATTTAGAAAAAATTATTCGAAGAAAAATCTTTCAAACATTTAATAGAGCTTAATAATTTCAATTTTTAACCTAAAAATAATTATAAATACACCCATATATTTATCTTTATTCTTCCCTTTTTTTATTATTTTAATTTTTTTATTTACAGAATAATTTAGAAATTTAAATATAAAGATTAAATGATTATATTACCACATATTAATAAAGTATTTTTAATTTATTTTCAATTAAAAAAATTATTTAAAGGGGGATTTTGTTTGGCTAGATCCAACGGCTTTGGGAAGGAATGACTCTCGACAATTTATTTTAAAATCTTCGGAGTTTCCAGCAATTGCTGCTAGAGTACTTTCTGTTTGGACTGACCAACAAGGAGGAGAACATATTATTTTACTTGATGATCAAAGCAATGTAAATTAAAAATTGAATGGATTTATTTAATAAAAAATATTTTTATTTAAAAGAAATTAGAATTGGGGGCTACAGAATTCCAAAGATGGGCTATTCGTCCAATGCATCCAACATCTATACAAGGGGTTTCTGATTTAATTCAAATGGTTGAATTACACGAAGCTGCTCTTCTCAGAAATTTTCAAATTCGTCACAGACAAAATATTTATCATGTAATAATCACCTACATATTTTACAAAAAACATAATTTTTCAGACATTTATTGGAAATCGTATTTTGGTTTCATTAAACAATAATTTATCAGAGGATATTCATTTATATACAGAAGATGAAAATCAAAGGAAAGAATTAATTCGTTCATATCGTCAAAGACCTCCACACGAATTATTACCCCATATTTATGCATTTGGAGCTGAAATTTTACGTTTTGTTAAAAAAGGGAAAAATAATTGTTGTGTGGTTTTTAGTGGAGAAACTGCTGTAAATAAAAATTAAATTTAAATAATTTTTTTAAAAATAGTCAGGAAAATCAGAATTATTTAAACAACTTTTAAATTTCCTTAGTGCTGATTTTGCTAATCAAAATTTTGAATTAAAATTAAATTCTGCTCAAATAATTATTGAAGGTTTTGGAATTTTTAAATAAAAAAATATTTTTTAAAAATTAATTATTTAGCCTTTACAAATGCAAAAACTTCTCGTAATATAAATGCTTCTAGACATGGAAAATATTTTGAATTAAATTATAAATTAAATAATGAATTATCTAAAGTTTTTTTTAATTTAAATATGTAATTTATTTAAAATTTAATTAAAATTAAAAAGATTGTACTTTCATCAGCAAAAATTGAATTATTTTTTCTTGAGAAATATAGAGTTGTGGAAGCTTTTGTTGAACAATCAAGAGAATCGTAAAAATAATATTTTTATTAAATAATAATTATTTTTTAAAGAAATTTCCATATTTTTTATTGCCTTCTTGCCGGATTAAGTCCTCAACAAAAACTTGATTTTGAATTGACAAATGGAAGGATATCTAGTTACAGACTGTTAGCACAAGTAAATTAAAGATTTCAAAAACTCGAAGAGATATTTTGAATAAATTTTCCTTTCTTTGTTCTTTTAAATAATTTTAATAAATTTCAAAGTATCGTCGAAATTCTCGTGAAAATTTTATTAATGGAGAAACAACTTCTTGGATGTTTGGAGGGGAAAGAACACGTCCAACATTTGAATTATTATCTAAAGTTGTTGGAGCATTTAAAATTTTGAATTTTAATGAAAAAGAAATTGAAAGTATTTGGAGACTTTTGGCAGCAATTTTGCATTTGGGGAATTTACGTTATAATGGTTTGTGGAGAAGTTAAAATTGCAAAATAAAATTTTCTTTTAAAGTTAAAAATTATGATGGAAAAGAAAATTTAGAATTAAATGATCGGTTAAATATTCAAAGAATATGTAAACTTTTAAAAGTAAAATAATTATTTAAATAAATATTTTTAAAAAAATATTTTCTAGATAGAAAAGAATTTATTAATTTCTTCATTAACAATTAAAAGTTTGTGTGATTTAAAATCAGAAAAAGAATTAAATTTTCGTAAATTAACTATTGATGAGGTAATTTAAAAAAGAATTTTTTAAAATTAATTTAAATTTGGGGTAATGAAAGGATAAGTTTTGTTCTTAATTGTAAAGCTCATCCAGTTTTCTTTAAATAATTCGATAACTCAATGAAATATTTTACTGTATAGCCTCTGAAATACTTAATTTTACTTTCTCACTTTCGATGGGAACTTTGGCTCTAAGCTAAAATAAAATAAATTTTTAAATAACGGCAAATTCGCGCGCGGCAAATTCGCGCAACTTTTTATTTTTACCATAACTTTCTTCATTTTTATCAAAAATTGATAATTATTTTTTTATCTAACACCTAACACTTTAGGAAATTCATTGGTACCAAATACTAAACATTTTGTTTTCGGATAGCAAAGAAAAACGAGAACAAACATAAAAACGGGAAAAAATGCAATTTTTTTTGTAAAAGTTTAATTAATCATAACTTTGTTCAAGATCATCCAATCCCAATAATTTTGGTACCAATCGACTTGTCTCGTTCAGGAGTATCGAAATAACTTATAATCTCATTTTCGAAAATTTCACACAAAAAATTCATTTTTTCCAGTTTGTTTAATTTATCATTCAGTGAGCCGTATCTCGGTTCATCTTTGTGATAGCTGAATGATTTTTACGTCATTCGAATCGGATTGCTGAGCTGATTCGAATGATATATAAATTTTACATATCAAAATCATACCCCCGACTCCAGTCCAATTTTTATCAAAAAAATTTTGCCTAAAGTTTGACGGGAAATTAATCATGCTAAATTGTAAATTTCAAAAGCGATTTTGGTACCAATAAATTTCCTAAAGTGTTAAGTATAAAATAAAAAAAGAATTATCAGTTTTTGATAAAAATGAAGAAAGTTATGGTAAAAATAAAAAGTTGCGCGAATTTGCCGCACCCTGTAAATAGATTAAATAATTAATTTAAATTAAAAGGCAGTAGATCGTCGAGACACTCTTTGTGTAGAAATATATTCAAATATTGTTAATTTTATAATAAACAAAATTAATTTAGAATTAAATGAAGAAAATAAAATAATTAATTGGAGAAATGGTCAACAACAAAAATTTGGTAAATTTATTTAAATTTTAACGAAAAAAAGAAAAATTCTTTTTAAAGTAACTGTTGGATTGGCAGATTTTCAAAGTTTAGAAAATAAATTGAAAAATGGGAATAATTTTGGTAATTTATATTTAAAAACAAATAAATATTTAAATTAATTTAGAACAATTATGTATTAATTATGGTGCTGAATGTTTACAACAATTTTTTATTAGAAGAATATTTACTTTGGAACAAGCAGAATATGCAGCACAAGTAATTTAATTTAAATAAATTATATTAAACCTTCTTAACAAAAAATATAAATTGTTAAGAAATATAATTTTTAAATATAATTTTTTTTCAAAAAATATAATTTATAAAACGATTTCTTTGTGTATAGAAGGGATTCCTTAAATTTTTTTTATTTCTTAAATTTGAATAAATTTCTATTTTTAGTGCCTTCCTGAATGGGAAGAGAGATGTGCAGCCCTTCCCTACCTCGATAATCTTCAAGTACTTGAAATGCTTGCTGTTCAACCATTAAGTGTAATGAGTGTTATTGACGATATAAGTATTGCCCCCGAAGTAAGTTTTAAAGAAAGTAATTTTTAAGAAAAAATTTATTTAGGCTTCTGATACAAATTTACTTTCAAAACTCCACTCATCCCATTCAAATAATGAAAGTCTCTACCAAAAACCTAAATCATCTTTACTTAATCAATTTGCAATTAGACATTATACTGGATTAGTACAATATAAGGTGAATTAATAATAAATTATAAGGACTTTGTTAATAATCCATTGAGATAAAAATTGCCTTAAAAAGGGGGATTTTATACCTAAATTTTACATTAGAAATAAAAATTTAGAAAAATAGAGTGAACAAAGCTCTATGCTTAAAAATTGTGAACTTATTCAATCTTTTATAAAAAACATAAAAAATCTTTAATTTTTAAGGTGGAAGGAATGATTTTAAAGAATAAAGATTATTTTCCCTCAGAACTTTCAAAATTAATAAATGAAAGCGAATTAAAATTTTTACAAAAAATATTTCAAAATAAAGAAGAAAATAATGAGGAGGGTGATGAAATAAGTAATGAATTGAGTGAAGAAGAATTGAATGAGAATGGAAATAATGAATTTAAAATTAAAAGAATTAAACAAAATACTCAATGCACAATTGTTAGACGAGTAAATAATTAAAAATTTTTTGAAATTATATTTAAATGTAAAATTATAAGTCAATGAATGAACTTATGCGACGTCTAGAAAGCTGTCCAGAAGCATTTTTTGTTCGTTGTCTAAAAACAAATGATGCACAAAAAGAAAAGTTATTTGAAACCGAAACTGTTTTACGTCAAATGCGGCAATTTGATATGCTTTCCACAGTGGCTATGTGTCGTGCCAGTTTTCCTATTCACATGGAATATGCTTATTTTGTGCGAAGATATAGGCCTTTAATGCCTGGAATTCGTTAATATTTTTAATTAAATTATTTACATATTTAATTAGCTCCACCTAATTATTGTGATTGTGCCCACACAACAGGATTTATTTGTCGAACAATTTTTGGGGATTCTTGTACAGAATTTGTACAATTTGGAAAGAATAAAGCATTTTTAAAATCAGAACAACATCAATTTTTAGAAATGGTTAGAACCTCCTTTTAAAAAAATCAAGAAAAAATCTTTTTTCTAAAGTTACGTTCTCGTCGTCTACATTGTTGTGCTGCTTTAGTTCAAAAATGTTTGCTTGGATGGGCAAAAAGACAGCAATATGCAAGATTACGTTGGGCAACTTTAATATTTCAAAAACATTGGAGGGGGCTTGTTGAAAGGAAAAAATTTAAAATTGTTTGGAATTTTTTAGAATTTTAAATATAAGTTCTAAATATTTTTAGATAATTAGAGGTGTCACTCGTTTACAAGCAATAATTCGTTCCCATCAACTTGTAATTCGTTATCAATGGCTAAAATCTTTAATTGCTCATTTTCAGGCATTTATTAACATTTGTTTCTATAATTTTATTTTTTATTTAAAGGCAAATTGCCGAGCTGTTTTAATTCGTTATCAACTTCAATGTTTAGTTACACGAGCTGAACGTCATTGTGCAATGATGGCTAGATTAGATTGTCAAATGGAAGATGAAGGAGAACCCCCAGCATTGGATTTACATGAAAATGAAGTTTTTAAAAATAAAAATAATTTAAAAAAAAGTATTTTTTTAGTTAAATAATATTATTAAAGAAAAGAATTTTGGATCATTAAAAATATTAAAATATTCAAATGAAAAAAATTGTATGGAAAAGGAGTTAAATAATAAAAATATTAAAAGAATTACTAATAATAATAGTAATAATGATGCTTTTAAATGGAATAAATATGCTTTGGCTAATTTTCAACAAGTTTTTTAATTTACATAAATTTATTAAAATATTTTTAAATTAAAATTTAAATTCGGTACCCTCTTTTGTTAACTCTTGGGGTCAGCTATTTATTATAATGTAATTTATTTTTGAATTGAAATTATACATAATTAAAGAAAAAGTAAAGGGGATAATTAAAAGAAGGCAATTTCCGAGGAAAGGATCTGAAAAATATTTAAATTAAATTTAGAATACATAAATCCTTTACTAAATAAATTTATCATATATTAATCAAAATATGGTACATATTTTCAATAATTAAAAGCTTTTTTAATTCATAATTTTTTTATTAATTATCCCAAAAAATTAATTTGATAAAATATTTTTAAATATTTTTAGACAAAATGCACACCAAAACATACACGAACATTATTAGAACGTTCTTTACTTTCACATAAAAAACATCTAGATGAATTAGTTTCATTGTCAATTTGGCGTAGATTATTACAATTTATTGGAGATTCTGATGGTTTTTAATTTAAATAAATAATTACAAAAAATATTTTTAAGTAACAGATTTTGCTTCATTTGACGGCAGAAATTCAAAAAATAACAAAAGTTCTTCTTTACCAATTATGGCCAAATTAAAAGCACTTTATTGTCAAGATTTTTCTGATGATGAAATTAATTATATTAAAGCTAATATTTTGGTAATTAATTTAAAAATTAAATTTAAATTAATTTTTTTAATTAAAAAGAATTACCAAACTTTTCAAGAAAATGGTTATATTTTAAAAAAGTCGATAAAAATAGCTAAAAATATTTTGATTGGAGAATTTAATTGGACAGCTTTTGATAAAGCTAAATTTATTGTTAGTGTTGGGATTTATCGAAATGAATTGAGGTAAATTAAAATGAAAATAAATTTAAAATTAAAAATTTTAAATAATTAGAGATGAAATATATAGCCAAATATGTAAACAAATAAATTGTAATCCTTCACCCCTTTCTGCTCGGAGAGGATGGATTTTAATGGCACTTTGTTCTTCTGTTAATTTTTTAAAATATTTTTTGAATTAAAGAATTTTTTAGGCATTTTCCCCCACAAATCGACTACTTCCTTATTTACGTAATTTTGTTAATTCGAATGCTCCAAATATTTTTTGGCAACGTTATATTGCTAAACAAATGAGTAGAACAATTAAATGTGGAGCTAGGAGGGAACCTTGCTTAAAAGTTTGCTGAAATATTAAATAATTATGATTATTAGTGTTTCACCGAAACCGAAATTTTGACCAGAACCGGATCCAATTAAATTTCCGGATCCCGGAACTTTAAAAAAATTTGCTAGCAAATTTTAAAAAATTTGTAGTTTAAGTAGGATTGATCCTTTTCTTGCGAGCCATATTTTTAAAACAAGCCATATTAAAAAAACAAATCCTTAGGGATGTAGAAATGTTCCGGTTTGCCCGGAGCCGATTTATAAACCGGAGCCGGAACCGGATCCAATTTGAGTGCCGGTTCCCGGAACCGGAACTTCCGGTGAAACTCTAATAACTATATCAAAAATTTTCATTAAATAGAAAAAATTGATTTTTAAGGCAGAATTTGCTTTTATTTGTTCAATTGATAATTTAAATAATTCTGGTTTGTTTGTACAAATTAATTTGCCGAATGAAGAAATTGTTGATATTCCAATTGTTTGAATTATTTAATTCTTAATTTTAATTAAAATTAATTTTAAAAAAGCATTCACAAACAACAATTGCCGATGTTTTTCAATTTTTAACTGAAAAAATAAATTTAAATGAATCTTTTGGGTTTGGACTGTTTCTCTCGACTGGACAAAATATTCGTTCATTAGTTGTTGGAGGAGAACGTTTGGTTAATTATTTTAATTTTAAATAAACTAAATAATAATTTTATTTAAGATGGATGCTTTAGCGTTAATTGAAGAACAAAATGATTTTTATTGGAAATTATATTTACGTAAAGAATTATTTTTACCTTTAGAAAAGTAAGAGAAATAATTATTTTTTTTAAATTATGATAATATTTTTAAGTAATTCTGATGAATTATTTGTTGACCTTTCTTATAGACAAATTATTAAAGGTTTACATTATGGAGAATATCAATGCAATAAAGTAATTTTTTAATAAATAAGAGATTAATATTATCTAAGTGTTGTCGATTCTAAAAAAAATCTTTTGGATATTCGGACATAAAAATTCTCAATTCTTCAGTTACCAACTACCATCCTATTAACATTATCCAATAAAAAATATACACACCTATCTTCTATTCATTTCTGTACCTCCAAACCCCTACCTAATATTATTTAACAAAATAATATTTTTAAGGAAGAAGATTTAGCTTTATTAGCTGCTCAACAATATTTTGTTTCAATAAACGGAAAATCTACGGAAATAGATATTTCTGAATTAGAAGACAATTTAAGTGAATATTTACCTTTAAATATTTTAAAACAAAATGAAGATGTTAATGAAAAAAGAAGAGAAGAAATAAATGAGGAAGAAGAAGAATGCCAAAAATGGATTCAATTAATTTTACATGCTTTTAGAAAAGTAAATAAATAAATAATTTTAAAATTTAAAAAAAAATTAAGAAAATCCTTAATAATGGTGAAACATTACCTCCAAGTGTTAAACAAATAAAATGTGATGTTCTTAAATTTGCAGCCAAACACTGGCCATTAAACTTTTCTAGGTACTTTGTATATTTAATCTAGATTCTAAAACTAATTTTTTGTTTAAAGATTCTTCGAAGTTTACAAATTTTCTGGCCCTCCTCTCCCCGTAAATCAACTTACTATGGCTGTAAATTCACGTGGAATATCCCTTTTAGATGCTCGTTGTTGTGATATACAAAATCAAAATAAACAACAAATTTTATTCGAAATTGAATTTATTGAATTGGCAAATATTGGATATGGAAGGTGTTTTTTTAATCGAGAATAATTAATTTAAAATATTTTAAAGATCAAAACATGAAGGGGCTGATGCAATATTTATTAGTTTATTAAATGGTGATCGGTATACTTTTCAATCGCCTTTAGCTAGAGAATTGTCACATTTATTATCACATATTTTAAAAAGTAAATAATTTTTTATTTAAGTTTAAGACGCAGGATCCTAAATGAGAGATCCTGCGTCTTAGTCTTCTAATATTATCAAAAAATTCTTTCAATTTATTTTTAGGTCTTCACCAAAATTCAATTTATGCTATAGCATTAAAAGATTACAATCATTGTACTGTCCAACACAAAATGCAGACTTCAGAAAATTGTCTTAATTATTATTTTTTACTAATAATTCCCTTTAATTTTAGCAGTTTTAAGCCTTTTAAAAGGGGATTTATTAATTTTGTCTTCCCCTCTCAATAAATATTTAAATAATGAAGAAGGAAAAAATGAAGAAGAAAATTATTTAATTGATAATGTTGAAAATACTCGTTCAAAAATGTGTGGAAGAGTTCCCCTTCATTCAATAAATATTTTGGCTTGCACAGAAAAACCTGCAAAAGAAAAATTAAATGTTTTTTTAAATTAAACATTTTTTTAATTTAATTTCGTTTTTTAAAAGAATCTTCTCTCATCTAGAAAAATAATAGAACAAGAAATAATAAATACAATAGAATCTAAACAAAATAATGATTTATTTGAATACCCAACATTTTACACAGCTGCTGTAGACCCTTTTGGAATGCCTTTGTAATTTTTAAACAAAAAAATATTTTTATATTTCTCTCAGAATTTGTGGACCATTTCCCCAACCACACACACTTGAACGATTTTCTTCTACAAATTTCCGATTACCAGAAGACGGAAATAGGCCTTCTGGTAATTATTTTTTAGTATAGAAATATTTTTTAAAATATTTAAAAGACGTTTTCGGCGCTTATAATGGAGGAGGAAGTCCAGAACCCGAACTTTGGAGACATTCTTTTGAGCCATTACGAGCTCCTTTACTTAAAAGAATTTCTGAACAAGGAAATGAAGCAATTGCTAGAGAAGTAAATTGAAAATAAATATTTAAAATAACTTTAATTTAATTAATCTAAAGTCACTAATTTCCTACTCTTTTATTCTCAAATATATGGGAGATTATGTTTCTCATCCCCAACAATTTTATTTGGAATATACAGATTATATATTTACTCCAGCACTTAAATATGTAAATTTTGAAAATAATTTAATTGAAAAAATAAATATTTTTTAAGGAAATTCTTCGTGACGAAATTTATTGTCAATTAATTAAACAATTAACAGACAATCCAAACCCTTTAAGTGAAGAACGTGGGTGGGAATTAATTTGGCTTTGTATTGGACTTTTCCCTCCATCTAGAGTTTTTTTCTGATAATAATTTAATTTTAAAAAATATTTTCTAAAGTTTTTGTGTCGGGAAGTTGAACATTTTTTGAGAACTCGTTTAGTGCCGATGGCTGCTGATTGTGCTATGAGATTACAAAAAGCATTAAAGTAAGGAGGGGATTAAAGTATTCTCTCCGAATAATATTCTTGATATAAACAATTAATTTAAAGAATTTTCCAAAAAATTAATTTTTAATTAAGTCAGTGTAACGAATTAATAACAACAGAGCAGCAATATTGTCGCCTTTCTCCTCCTCATCAAGTCGAGTTGGAAGCAATTCAATATAGACAAACACAAATTTATCATAAATTTTATTTACCTGATGGAACTCAAGAAACTATTGAAGTACTAAATAAATTTTTAAATTGAAAAAAGATTTTTTAAATAATTCGGGAAAACAAAAAATAAATTAATTTAATTTAATTAAGATAAAATTTAAAAAAAATATTAATTAATTTAAAAAAAAGGTTGAAAGTTGGACTCGTGCAAAAGATTTTTCAAAGAAAATAGCAGCTCGTTTAGGCCTTCTAAATTCCCTTCAAGGCTTTGGATTATTTATTAAATTGGGGGAAAAAGGTAGAATCTCTTTAATTCAAAACCTCTCTCATATTTTTTAAAGTTGTTTGTATGCCTGATAAAGAATACTTTTTTGATTTTATTAATCAAATACAAGATTGGGCTAGAAAAAATTCTAGAAGAGAACAAGTAATTAATTGTGGGAGAAAAGTTATTAATTCTCAAATAAATTTTAATTATCAAGTAAATTTAAAAAAATATAATCAAAAATAAATTTTTAGGTTCATTTTATGAGAAAATTATGGTTAGATGTTGAACCTGGAAAGGATTTGAGACAAGATATTATTTTTAATTATCCACAAGTACATGTTTAAAAAAAATATTTTTTTAAAATTATAAATTTATGTAAAAGGAATTACCAAAATATCTGAGAGGATATCATAAAATTGATAAAAATGAAGCTATTCAATTTGCTGCTTTAATTTTGAGAGCACAAACTAGGGATGATAAACAACCTCCAATACAGCATTTACAACATATTTTACATGAATTAATACCTATGTAAATTGAGAAATAAATATTAAAATTTAAAATTAATTATTTTTTAAAGAGATCTTCTCAAATCTCATAATCCAAATGAATGGAAAAAAGTTTTTATTTTTAAATAAAATAATTAAAAAAAATATTTTCAAGTTAATTTCTGCTGAATTACAAAAAGAAGGAATGCCAAAAACATCAACGGAAGCTAAACTTTGTTTTCTCCAAAGAATTGCTAAAGAGCCGACATTTGGGTCGGCGTTTTTTGAAGTAAAGTTTTTATGAATTATGATATTAATCCCGTCGAAATCCGGCGCGGGACAGCATTTCGAAGGGATTTTCCGGGATCCCGAAATTCCGGATTTTTTATTTTCGGGATCATTCGAGATCTCGGGATTTTTTCGGGATTTATCCCTCGGGATCCCGTCCCGGCATCGGTTAAGAAAAAAATCCCGATTGGAATCCCGAAATTCGATTTTGCCGGTCTCTAGATATTAATTGATTCCTCCCTCTCTTTTCTTTGGAATGTGCCAGGGAATAAATTCCCGATTTTGAGAATTAGGACGGAAGCTCCCTTTTTTGTGAACGACTTTCTTCTTATTTACTAATGATAATTTAAATAATTTTTTTTATTTAATTAATTAATAGGTTAAACAATCTGCAGACCCAACATTATGTTCTAAATTATTAATAGCAATAAATCAGTAAAAACTTTAAAATAAAGTTTTTTAATAATTTAATAATTATTTTTAGAGATGGAATGAGTTTATACGAATTGGAAAGTAAAAAATATATTCGAACACACGGATTTAAACAACTTTTAAATTGGCAATCGGCAAATACGTAAAATAAAATTAAAAAAAAATATTTTAATTAATTTATTCTGTAGATATTTTCATTTAACTTTGGATAACGGAAATCGTTTATTGTTTGAAACAATACTTGGACATAAATTGGATGGTTTGTATAAAATATTATTTTTTTCCAAAATTTATTTCTAACAGATTTATTAACTTCATATATTCAAACATTAATTTCTAAACAAGAAAAAGAAAATGGAAAACAAAAAATATCCCCACTTTCAAAAATTGCTGTACTTTTACATCAATATAAACCTAATGTTAATGGATCAACTTCACCAATATTAACAAATGGAAATTAATTTTTAAAAATTAAAAAGAAATGTTAAATAATTATTTTTAATTTAATTTTAATTAATTACTTATAAATATTCTTTTATTTTTAATTTTTTTTTGTAAATTAATTAATTTACACCATAAAATTTTTAAATTTAAAATAATGTAAATATTTATATTTTTTACAAGACACATTAAAATTATTTACTCACAATTACTATAAAATATATCCATTTCAAAAATTTTTGGTTCAAAAAGTACATTATAAATTATCCACCGAAATACAAATAAAGCTAATTAAAAACTTAAAGTTAAAAGGAAAATTTTTTAGTTTTTGAGAAAACTTTTTTAATATATTACGGTATGGAATTTTTTACTTTTATTTAAAATAAATAATAGTAGACTGATTTTTAACCATTTCAATCCCATTCAACTCAGCTCGATAAGCTCTTTCGAATGACATACATATACATATTGTCCATATTCATGACTGTTTTTTAAACATTTTCCCTTTTAAACATTTTTAAATTCAGTAATAAATAAAATGGAATATATATTGTGGAATCGAGATGAATTTGACAGAATTTATAATTGTACAGGAATTAATGTTGATGATATTCCAATTGAACAAAGAAGATATCCGTTAGCTGCAATTATTTGTATAATATTAGGCTGCATATATTATGTACTATTTTTATTTTTAAATTAATTTTTTTTTAAAATTCAAGCCTTTATATTTTCCTTGTCTTTACTCTTTTTGGAAGAATAGAGCCAAAAATCCTTGTTATATACTTTTAATTTATCTTTCTATATTGGATATTGGAACTCTTTGGGTACCAACATTTGCTATAGGAATCTTCAGCTTAAATGGTGTTGTCTATTGCTCTTTACCTTTTTGGACCTATTTTGCTGGCTGTGATCTTTTATGTAAGTTTTTCAAATATTAATAAAACATTGTAACACAAAGTTATTAAAAGATTGAAAAGTTTTTTTGAAAATATAAATTTGCCGGCTCTAATAATTTTATATTTCAGTTTTTTGGGCTGCTGAATGTAGTGGAGATTTGGTTTTTTAATTATAAATTAAATATTATATGATTGATTAAGCTTTCAATTAATAGTGATTTCGGTAATATTGATGTACAGTATCTTCTCGATTAATTCCCCTCCCGCGAATAATTCCTTTCCCTCGAATAATTCCCCATCCCAAGGATAAGTTAGAATATTAATTCACTAGGGATTAATTCACCGGTATATATAAATACCGAAAATATAACTCAAGTTTAATTTCATTTTCTCTTGACCAATTAAAATTAATAATTTAGGACCAGTTTTTTATCGTATTTTTTTCTAGATTTTGGGAATAAATCGTTGTCTAGAAATGGCATTTCCAAAAATTGCAAAAAAACTTTTTCACAACAATCGTGTTTATATTTGGATAACTTTTTGTAATTTATATGGACTTTATTGGCTTTTATTTCGACATCCTTATATTTTTAATGGATTGGAATTTGGAGATTTATATGACCCTTTAACTGGATATATACCTTTTAGAATGGAATTTGTATTAATTATTTAATTGTAATTTATATAAATTTAAATATTTATAGTTTAAAGAGGATTTAATAGAATTAACGATACATAATACTATATTGGCTGCTGGATCACCAATAATTTATACTTTATTTGCAATTTGCTTAATTTTTAAATTTCGAGCACTATCTAATAAAATTACAAAAGAAGAAATAATGGTTGGTAGTTCTTTAAATATTTTTAGAAAAAGAAAGAAACCCAGTCCCTGCCCTAAGACTGGTCGAAATAATTTAATAAAAAATTTTTCTATGAATTTTCAACACCCTACGTGATAATTTATTTATCATTTTTTAAGGTTTTTATTCAAGTATTTATCATTTCAATGTTTAATACATCTACAGGAATTGTTTATTCCTATAATTTAAAAAATCCAGATAGTGGATATTTTCTTCAAATGTTGGCACATTTTTCTTGGTAATTTATTAAATTATTTAATTTAAAAATTTTTTATATTTTTAAGGCTGCACGTTCACGGTAATTTTAAATATTTAAATTACAACAAAGCATAAACAAAAACCTTAAAATTTAACAGGTTTTCCACCAATTGTTTATTTGACATTAAACAAAACAATTAGAAATGATACAAAAATTTTATTTAAAAATATTCGTCAAAAAATTTCACCTACTGGCAACATGAATAGTATGCTTGGATAAATGAAGATTGAGACTAAATATGAGGGATGTCACTGGAGAAAAGAAGTCGAGGTCTGGGTCGAAAAAAGCTGTGACATTCTTGCTAGATATACACTGATACTCTAAAACAATATACCGTATTTCTTCTAATAGTGCGACTCCCTCTATTAGACCGATCTCTTCTAATAAACCGACCCCCTAGAGGAAGGTTGAAAAATAAACGACCGGTCGCACTATTAGAAGAAATACGATATATTGTTCTGCGGTGTGGAGATAATTTTGTAACAGTGCACTGGGTGACAAGAAATAACCGGGAAACTTTATTTTCTGACTTGACTTTATTCAATTTAAATTAACGATCACAATTACGAATAAACAAAATTATAGTAATTATTTTGCTTCCAAAAAAAGTTTGGTAAAATTTTTAAGGAAATTTAAAAGCATCTCATCAAAATAACTCCCTGATTTGGACGTTCAAGCGTCAGACCTACCTAGAAATAAACAGGCATTTGCCTAAAAATCCTAGCCCCATTAATAACACAATAAATAAATGTATAATCAAGCTAAAATATAATTTATAAACAAAAATCTATTAAAATCACAATCTTGGCCTTTTAACATCATTTGCACTTCCTCCATTTCCTGTTTGATTTTGTCTTTGTTGATATCCAATTAAGGATTCATCTTCAGTTTCTCCTTGTTGTTGTTGAAATAATTGATCAAACATCCAAGCTTTATATCCATTAATTAATTGTTTAAGTTGTGTTTCAAATTCCAAAGCCATTTCTGAATGTCCACCAGCAATTAATTGTGAATGTGTTTTTGTGACAGAAATTCCTAATTGTTGTGAATTAAATGGTGATGAACTTGAAAGTTGATTCTCATTAGTTGATAAATCGATGGAAATTGAAGAATTTTGTATTAGCTTTAAAGGAATTAAAATTTATTTGTTAATTTTTTAATATTATCTGATTTTATTAATAGAGAAATATGTTATAGTAGTAATTTGTAGGTAATACATATGGAATATAATATAAAATGATTTTGAGTATTGCCTTTTAATTAGGGTTGGGGTTTTCGAGCCGGGCCGACGTTCGAGTCACTTTTTTCGGGCCTCATTTTTATCGGCTGCCCGAACGAGTCTTTTTCGGGCCAAAATTCAATGCCCGACTCGATCTTTCGGACCGGGCACCCAACCCTACTTCTAATGGTTTTATATTTGATATAAGTATTCTATTTATATTGTCTACTTCATATAGATAAACTAATTTTGTTTATATATTCAATTAGTAAAAATCCATTCATCACCTTTACTGGTTGAGCGATATGTGAAGTAGATGGTGATGATGTCTGACGTTGCTGTTGAGTATTTTGAACAGAAGTTTTCATTGAAGTATTCTTCATAACTTGATCTAACGGTTGTTGACTATTGACAAATCTTTGGTTATTTTGTTCTTCAAAAACGTCTTTAAAAATTAATTTGAATTTAAAATTTAGTTTTTTGTACACCTGGACTAGCTGAATTTCTAAGTTGTTTTGAGTGCCTGACGGGGTGATTTGATGAAACTAATGAAGTTGAAGGCTTTTCTTGAGGCATATCATCAATTTCTCTATCAACAACTTTGTTTCCACTTCCTGATTCACGTTCAATATAAGCAAGACCGTAATGATTTATAACTGTTTCAAGCTAATATTTAAAGAAAAATTTGAATTTTTACGAGGAAATGAATACCGAGCCAGGCCCACGCTTTTCGATAATAGTGCTGACAAGGCGATCCAATTCAAGTTGTCCAGGTCTTGCCTGTTTTACCGTACCTAATTTCATTTTTGCCATGCGTCGAATTGATTCCTGAAATTAAAATAATTTTGCGTTGATTTTATTTTCAAATTTGAGTCAAAAATTCAATTCACCTTTCGAATATTTTGCCAATAACAACTGCCTGTATATTTCCAATCTTTATCAACTAATGTTGCTGCCCCATTCTCAATCATAAATAAGCGAATCTCCTCCCACAAAGGACCACGTTCATTACTCGTTCCATTGAAAAGGACATCGTAGTGATCGCTTACAATTGCAGCAAACACTAGTCGTTGTCGTGTGATATCCTCACGCTCTGCTTTGAATACTGGATTTGTAGTTATATAAAGTTCTGCTGAACGTCGAATACTTGATTCTGTTTTTGCATCTGGAGTGAATTCACCTATTTCATGCTTTAGAAATTCCATTGTTCAAAGATTTCCCTTTATTCCCTACTTAAAAACAAATAATTTAAGAGAAAATTAACAAATTGTCTATAATGTAATGTTGAGTAATATAAAATGAAATAACGAGTGTAAAAACACCAAAATCAATATAAAAATGTAATGTAAGGGGTACATGGTTGGGAATAGTGAGATGAAGGTAGTGCTGGCTGGCGTGTCACCCACCATTAGCATGAGAGAGTTAAAGCACTCTCACATTCACTATAGAACGTAAAGGAATGACTGCAGTGTTTACCCTCGAAAAAAAGAAAAAGAATTTTTTAGAGTAAAGGTGCAAAGTATACTAGCTGAAGGGTAAAAAACTTTCCTAAAAATATTTTGAAGAAACATGAATAAAAATAAATTCAAAATTAGTAGTATTTTACATTTATTTAAAACAACAATTTAACAGTCAAACAAAAGAACGAAAACAAATATTTAAATCAAGAGAAAATTTTCTATATAATCCTGCCAATAAAGAAACAATAGCTTACAGATTATCTGATTATCTAACCATTTTCCTTTCCCCCACAAATTAAAAATGGTCAAAGCAGCATCAATCATTTTGAAAATTTCGTTAAAAACTTCTTTTGCCTTAATTCTGAAATTTGCAAAAATTCACTGGCACTATGGCAACCTTGTCAAAATTTTGAGAACAGGGAGAGAGAATTAAAGATATGGAAAGATAAACAGATAATATTGAAGCTATCAGCTGACTTCTCAGTTTTTCTGAATGTCTAGGATTTTAGAAAAATTTTCAGTATAATATTCTTAAAAATAGGAGAAAACAGCTTTTGAGTATAAAAGATTGCAAGAAAAAATGATCGTTAAGGGAAAAATTTAACAATATCATTTAACTGGCACATTAGACAATGTTCTTGCTTTGAGTGATGAACCATTTCGAAACACTCGTAATTGATGTCCTTTATAAACACATTCGCCATTCTCAGAGACGGACAAATCCTTAATAAATACAATTGAATCTCGATAGCACCTGGTACGAGTACGAGCAAAATTACTATAATTCGTACTTGGCGACAAAAGGAAATTGCAAGAAATATACTTAATTTCTTTCAGCCTTTTATAAAGACGTGTGGTTCCGAGCAAGGACGTAGTCAGAGGGCTTCTGGTACTAAAGCCTCCACCCCCGAAATGAGGAAAAGGAAAAAATTTGAGGAGGACTCTGAGCAAAGAACTTGAGATCGACTCCCTGGCTACGCCCTTGGTTCCGAGGGATAACCCCTTGATAATCTCTTTTCTTATTACGTTGGCCCATAAAGTACAGTCGAGATTCGAGTGTATATTTAATGATATATTTTCAATAAAACCCACCGGCGCCACTCCTTCCCATATTTTCTTCTTCGGATTCATAAAAGGCAAATCAGGACGATGAGCAAAAGGTTCACACATAACAACATCTCCTGGCTCACAACTTGAGTCAATCTCCAAAATTTCAACTTTTTCTGGTGTAGATGCACACATAACCATTGCCTGAGATTCAACACCGCGCATCTTTGCTGGCTTTAAATTACATAGACAAACAACTAATCGATTTTGCATCTGAAAAGTCAAACTTAGAAATCCCAACAAAAATTCAATCAAACCTCTTCCAAAGGCACAAAACGAACAAGACCAGAAACAACCGTCCTAGGCTTCTCTTCACCAAGGTCAATTTCTTCTACATAAAGAGCATCAGCATCTGGATGCTTCGTTGCTTTTAGAATTCTGCCGACTCGTAGATCCAATCGACCAACATCAATCTCACCTCCTCCAGCAGTATCAACATTTGAAGCCGCAGCTTTCTTATTCTCTGACTTTTTCCCTTGTTTTGGTTTCTGAACAACATTCTCTCCATTATCAACAGTCGATGTCGTTATCTGACTAGGTTGTTTTAAAACATCAGATTTTGAGTTTTCTTTAGGTATCGTTTTAATTGGTGCAGAACTACTAGCTAAAGACAAATTTAAAAATATTTAATTGTAAAATCTCAAAAACTTTTTGGAGGCGAAAATAAAGGTCCAACATATCCCAGCTTAATTTTAAATTCTTCAATTTGTTCACGTAAAGCTTTGTTCTCAGAATCTAATCGAGTCATCTCCTTTGCCACAAAAATTTCCTCTAAAAAATTTAATAATTAACGAAAATTAAATACATTTTTAACTAACTTGCTTTTTGAAATTTTGCCAAAACTTCATTATATAATTTATTTATGTCAATAGAAGACAAATCAACAGCATCTGATGAGGCCATTTTTGCTAAAAAAATTTTTTTAAATTAAATTTGAAAATTTTCAAAAATTATATTTAATTAAACTATTAAAATGTTTACAGTCAAATAAAACTCCATTAACAGTTTTTGAAAATATTTTACGAGAAGAATAATTAAAGTAGCGGTGAAACATTTGTAATAATATTAAAATTAATATTAAATTAATCCCCCAAAAAAGATTAAAATAAAAGTTAACGACGTTTTTCAACCATTTTTGATTAAAAAAATATTTATATTTTTTATATTTAAAATAAAACAATTTTTAATACATTTTTTCTGTTGATTTTGTTGTTTAGTCTTTTTGGGCGATGTTTTATTGTTGACAAGAGTTCCGTTGACAGTTGTAGAATTTTGATCACCGCCAAACAATGCTTTCCACTCTCCAACTTTACTTGGTTCGATTTTTGCAAATAAAGGTGAGGGCTAAAATAAAAGAAATTTAAAACAAGTTTTTAGGACAAAAATTTTTTGTAGTATTAGAGAAAATTCCGGCCGAAAAATTTTTTGCCCTAAACCGGGTTCAAAATTCTAACAATAAGTTGAAAAAATTATTCAGCAAAAATAATAAAAAAATCTTGTAATTACTAAAAAAGATAAAGAAAAAAGTGCTAAAATTCGATATGACTAATTTTAATTTAATCAGTAATTAAACCCAAAATAACCAGCCAGTTTGTTAAATATTAGGTGGAAAAAATGTGCACAAATATAGTCAAAAAAAGAGTAGAGAGAAGAAAAAAACATTGGGTCTTAAATGAAAGAGGGAAAAGAGATCAATAAGTGTAATCATAAAGGTGCAATGAATTTTAATAGAAACGTAAATTCTCGAATTAATTTTTTTCTTATGTCAGGTGATCAGAAAATAAGATGGAGTCTTAAAATATAAAAAATTAAATACTTTATTATGTTGATGTCCTGTTTTGAGAAGCAAAGTAAAATGTTCAGGTAAAACCATTGGTAAAGGAATATTGCATTGTTCACGAATGCTGGCACTTGTTTTTGGCATAAATGGTTGAAGCATTATTGAAAGAAAAAGTGACAAATTTGCGGAGACACCAATTATTGTTTGTGCACGTTGTCTAAAAATATAAATCAATTATATTTTTCCTTATAAGGGCAAATTTTTTAAATAAGTATTCAAAAATTTAATGTCAATGTTAATAAGAAATATTAAAATTCCAATTACTTGTCCTCCTTTTTATCGCTTTTGACTAACAACCAAGGCTGTCCAACTTGCATATATTGGTTTCCTCTCCTAGATACTGATAGAATTTGATGGAGAGCATCACGCATACGAACATCTTCCATAGCAGAAATAAATTCCTTTAAATCCTGATCAATCAAAGTAAAAAGTTCATCTTCGACTGAGGTTAGTTCAATGTTGGGTTGTATTCCAGAGAAAAAAGAAGATAGAAAACTAAGTGCACGATGGACAAAATTGCCCAGGTTGGCTAATAATTCGGAGTTGACCTAAAAGAGATTAATTGACTGTAATTGATGATAGAAATAATAAAAGTAAATTAAATAAAGTTGAAAGGAAAACCTTTAAAACCAAATCCTCCCAACAAAAAGATGTATCCTGCCCTTCTGGACGCATATAAATTAAATAAAAACGTAAAACATCCGCTGGAATTCCAATTTGGGAAACAGTGTCACCAAAGACGCCAACACCTCTGGATTTACTAAATTTTTGGTCCTCGTAATTTAAATATTCTGTTGCACACATATGCCTTTAAATTAAAATTTTATACGAATCAAGAAAAAAAATAAAATTGCCTTGGATGAGTATATTTTTCACCAGTTGCTAAAAGAGAAGCAGGGAAGATAATTGTGTGAAAGGAGACATTATCTTTTCCCAGAAAATTGTAAAGTTCAACTTGCTCCGGATTTTTCCACCAATTAACCCATTTAGAGCCAAGTAAAGATTTTGTTATGGATAAATAGCCAATTGTAGCATCAAACCAAACATAGAAAACTTTTGAAGAGAATTGGGGGAGAGGAACAGGAATACCCCATTTCAAGTCTCGAGTTATACAACGACGTTCAAGGCCAGTCTTCATCCAAGAACGGGTGATGGAAATTGCATTAGTCGACCAATGTGAGTTGGGAGAGTCAATAACAGTATCCAAATAAGTTTGGACTTTTGGCTGAAAAAAAGACAAATGACAAACTTCTCAAATTTTTGTTTTATTTTCAACCCAAAGATTATGTAAAAGTAGATTAAATTCATAGAAAGCCCTAAACAGAAAGAGAACCTCACAAACTGTCAGTTAAAACTTTGTACGGTAATATTGAAGAGTACAGACCCCATTTTTTCCTCCCTATTTCCCCCCTATATTTTTACAAAATGGTCAGGCTTTCTCCTTCCTTCCATCCAATTTCCCTTTCTAATTTTTGCCTAAATCAAACAAAAGGGATTATTTTTGACATTTTTTTCCAGTTATTAGAGAAAATGAGTCTTCTCAAAACTCATACTTGTTAAGGTATCACGACTTTTGCGCCGAGAACATTTGCGCCGCGACTTATGCGCCGCGACTTTTGCGCCGAGCGACTTTTGCGCCGCGACTTATGCGCCGCGACATTTGCGCCGCCATTATTTTGAAAAAATAACATAATATCTACAATCGGAACTTACTCCTTGGGCTTAAATAATGGTATCCAGGAACTGAAGGAAGTTCAGGAAGTACAATGGGGGTCCGATAGCTGATGAATTAGGTCTGGGTCAGACATGGGCGAAACGTTTCGTTTCGTTTCGTTGTTTCGTTAGTTTCGTTATGTTTTTTACTGTTTCGTCTCGTTTCGTGACGAAACACTTTTTAATTTGTTTCGTTTCGTTTTGTTAACGAAACACCTGTGTTTCGTTAACGAAACTTTACCTATTTTTTAAGCCAAAATATTACTCAAAAACTGAAAAATTTCCCACTTTCTTGATGGAAATTCAAAAAATTTTTGCCTGCGGCGCCGAAATCTGAATTGTAAGCGCCTACGGCGCATAATTTACTATAGTTTTATAAATTTTCCGTCTGATTTTATGTTTTTAATACGCAATGTTTGAGTTCTATGCTAGATTAAGCATATAGATTGGGTCTATTTCTTAATGGGTCGGTCTATCTCTAATCTATTTCTTAAATAAACACATAAATCATCTCCTAATGCCAACCATGGGTAGGCGCAAGAGACAATCTCATAAAACGAAAAACGCAACTTATGCCAATGATCATGAATGTTGTTGATCAACATAAATCTGAGTACTTTCGTTTTTGACATACTTTCGTACTTGATATCAATAGAAAAATTCTTAAAATTTTTCTTTTGACCACTAAAAATTGAATTTTTTTGCCTACGACCTTCTGAAATTAACAAAATTTTCGCCTGCGGCGCTGAAAAAAGAATACGGCCCTTTCAAAATTCTCAAAATTTTCGTATGCATCGCTGAAAAGGACAGAAAAAGGAAAATTTATGGCTTCAAAGCCTTCTAAGACTGATTGGGCCCACACCATATGGCTAATGGGACCATAATTTGTGGTCCCATATAATTATATGATAACATATAGGTCATTATTGGCCAATTAATATGCTTAAACTTGAATAGATAATAAAATAATTAAGTTTTTTTGAGATTTTTGGGAATTTAAAATGTTTCGTTTTGTTTCGTTTCGTTTCGTTAAATTCTGACTGTTTCGTTTCGTTTTGTTAACGAAACGATTTTTAAAAATTTTTGTTTCGTTTCGTTTCGTCCGAAAAAAATTTGGAGTTTCGCCCATGTCTGGTCTGGGTCATAAAAGTAGGATGCACTATAGTGAAGGGTTGTCGGATCCGGATATTCAATTATCCTATAACCCTACTATAGTGAGGTCTGGCTGTAGTTATTCATATATTTTTAATGATAGTGGCGGCGCAAAAGTCGCGGCGCAAAAGTCCCCGGGCGCATAAGTCGCTCGGCGCATAAGTCGCGGCGCAAAAGTCGCGGCGCAAGAGTCGCGGCGCAAATGTTCTCGGCGCAAAAGTCACGGAACCCTTGTTAAATACCAAAAATAATCCTTTTTGTTTGACTGTAGGCAAAAATTAGAAAGGCAAATTGGATGGAAGGAAGGAAAAAGTCTGACCATTTTGTAAAAATATAGGGGGGGGGGGGGGAAATAGGGAGGAAAAAATGGGGTCTGTACTCTTCAATATTACCCTTTGTACTTTTTTGTACCAATCGATAGAGCACTATCAATTTATTCTAGAAAACCCTCGGACTTTTTGATTATGCATATAATACTAAAAAGTTCAGGGGGCTAACAGTTCAAAAGGTTCACTTGTTAGTATTTTAGTTAAAATATTATTAATAAGCAAATATCACAAATAATTTTAATTTTTAAAATAAATATAAAAAACCGAAAGCTGATCCAAATTCAAAAAAATGTGCTCAGATTCCTCTATGCGCGGCTCACTCCCGCAAATAAGACATCTTGGTTCAACAAGCTCAACGCCATCCAAAAGATGGCCACATTTATCACATTGATCACCACGAGCATCAAGGAACTTACAATGAGGGCAAGTTCCACGAACAAATCGGTCAGCAAGAAATCTAAAAGCAGAGATAAGCATAAATCAAAAATTTAATAAATTTATTTGGAATTTAGAAGGGATTTCCAAAAAAACTAAAACAACTAAAAAAACAAAAATCTAAAAAAAGCTCAGAACCGAAAATAATAAAAATGTTATATATTAAAATAATAGTTTGGAAGTCGTCTTCCTTTTTTCTCGTTTCCCTGACCATTTTGAGCTTTTTTGTTTGATATTTTGTTGATTTTAATGGCATTCGACTCACAATCAGCTCAAGAGGTCTTTCGAATGATATATAATTTGAAATAAAATGAAAATAAAATAGGGAAAAATAGAAAGTAAAAAAGGAGGAGGCGAATTCCAAACCATTACCAAAAAATTTAGATAAAAACTTATTTAAAATTCTCGATAGATTTTAAAAAAATATTTAAATTTTATTAAACAAAATAAAAAAACTTGCAAACTTTTGACAATTAGAACAACGAAGCTGTTTTTGAATCCCAACAGAAGTAAAAGAATTATTATGAATTTTAAGAAATATATCTTGAACAATTCTAAAAAAAAGCTTTAAAAAATTAAAGAAAAAATCAAACTCTGTCTGGTGTTCTGAAGAAGTTCGGCCGAAACAGTCAAAATCAATTCCAAACCAGTCATAAGCTTCTTTATGAAGTTTATGGAATTTATCACAAATTTCTTTTGGAGAAACACCCTCTTAAAAAATTTGTAATTAAAAGATACTTTTTTGGAATGTTATTTTTAGAGATCGGTCTGGATATGGATCCAGTCTGGATTTTTCCTGGATCCAGAGTCAAGGTCGACATTTTTTGATCGACCTGGATCTTTCCTGGATCCAGTCCAGGTCGATAACCCAAATCCAGAGTCCAAATCAAAACGATTTTTATACTTGATTCCCTGGATTAAATTTGACCAGAAAGTGACATAGATGTGTTTCGCAGCTAAATTGTTTCATGAAAAAGTAAAAACTGAATATTATTATGGACATATTATGTCAGAAACAATGAAAATACTTTTATTGATATGCAATTATTTCCTTTATATATTTTTAAAAAATAATTCAAAAATCAAGGAGGGATCCAGATCAAGAATCCTGTCCAAGTTACTAACTTAAATCCAGATCCATGATCCAAAATTTTTGAAAATACCGTTCTCTAGTTATTTTGATTAAATTAGGCTAACCGGTGAATTAAAATAATAAAATTAAAAATAGTTCAAATGATTAAATAAAAAATTAATTTCAAATCTTTTTGAAAAAAACCTGTCAATGCTCGAATTTCTGTCGCCGTGCCATATTCATCCGTTCCACAAATATAAAGACATTGATACTCTCTCATATTGCAATATCTTACAAAAACGTCAGCACTCAACACGGCCCCAATAATATTACCCAAATGAGGGACATTATTAACATAAGGAAGAGCAGCACAAACTAAAACATTTCGACGTCCTTCGATTGGAATTCTGAAAAAATATTTAAAATTTTTAAAGAAAAAATAAATAATTGATTACTTATTTTCGGGTGGTTGACTTTGCAAAAACTTTGGCTCGGCGAACCGATTTTGCTGCACTTGATTGCTCATTAGCTTGGAAATGTTACAACGTCTTTAAAAATACCTGATTGAAAAAAATTTTTTTCAATTAAAAAATAAAAAATTAAATTGACAACCGAGAAAAAAATTTTTCAAAGTTGGAAATTATGGGGACAGGACACTTTGTCGCCGGCTACTTTATCGCCTAAAAGGAACTGTAGAATAATTAACAATTGTCTTTTGTTTTTATTTCTACATTTGTAAATTATTTCTCATTTTTTTGATTTTCAAGATTATGTATTTATCCATCAATTTTTGATTTATAAAATTTTGAAAAATATTTTTTAACTATGAGATAAGCTAAATTATTATATTTTTAATATAAATCATTTTAAAAATATTAAAAAAAAGCTACATAAATCACCGGTTTTAAATAAAAAAAACTCGATTTCAACAACCAACTCTCAGTTAAAAATGGAAGGGAAATGAAAATATTGAGAAAATTAAGGATGCAATATCTTTTCAGAAAACTATTTATTTTACATTTATTTAGCTTTTGAGATACATACAGTGCCGGATAATTAAATAGTCTGTTCTTATCTTTTTTCCACCCCAAAAATTGAGTAGTAATTTGATTTTTAATGCAGTGTAGAATTAAATAATCGTTAATAAAAAGGGAATATTTCTACACATTTAATAGAGGATAAATTATTCAATAATTTCTGTCAATTTTTTACCCTTAAAAGATTAAAATTCGAAAGATAATTTGAAGAAAAGAAAATGTGTGCGTCTGGTCCTATCTTTTTTTCGGCACTGTAAGCTAAAATATTTTTAATTTAATTTTATATTTAAAAAATTTTTTTTTTTAAAGCATTTAAATATAATATTCTCCATTACTATCTTGAATTATTTACTTATTTTTTATTTCAAATTTATTTTTTTAAGTCATGATTCCTTTACCCTTTTATTTTTTATTAAAGTTTTTTAATTATATTTTTAATTAGCACAAATAAAAAAAATTTTTGTTTGTTAAAGGGAATACATATGGTATTTTTCCCCTAGTTTTCCCCAAACTATCAATTATAAAGGAAATAATGGCTTTATTAAATATTAAAATTTTTTATTATGTTTTTAAAAGCATTATTATTATTATTAACAGAATTTTATTTAGAAATAAGTACATACTTATTAGATGAAAAAAATTATTTTCTAAGTAAAATAATAGGGCTGACATAGAGTTAAATTAATGTTTAGAGTGGTTGTAAATACCGTACTTCCTAAAATAAATCACCAAACTACTAAATTAGAGCCCCGCCATTAAATAGAGCCCTACTTTGGTGTATAGTTGAAAAATAGAGCCCCTTGGGGCTTTATTTTAGAAAATACTTTACTTTTTAAGTTTACGAGTCAGAAGAATTATTATAATAAATAAAATGGAATATATATTGTGGAATCGAAATGAATTTGACAGAGTTTATAATTGTACAGGAATTAATGTTGATGATGTTCCAATTGAGCAAAGAAGATATCCGTTAGCTGCAATTATTTGTATAATATTAGGCTGCATATATTATGTACATATTTTTATTTTTTTAAATTAATATTTTTTAACTTAAGCCTTTATATTTTCCTTGTCTTTACTCTTTCTGGAAGAATAGAGCCAAAAATCCTTGTTATATATTTTTAATCTATCTCTCAGTATTGGATATCGGAATTCTTTGGGCACCAACATTTGCATTCGGTATTTTTAGCTTGTATGGAGTTGTTTACTGTTCCGCACCAATATCTACATATTTTGTTGGCTGTCTTATTTTATGTAAGTTATTCATTAATTGGAAGTAGGGTTGCCAACCCGGTCCAACATTTTGAGCTCTAAACCCTGACCCGATAAAATTAGACATAGAAAATTCTGAATGTCAGCTCGATCCGAACCCCAATTAAAATTAACATTGAAATTAATTTTTTAGTTTTTTGGGCTGCTGAATGTATTGCTGATTTGGTCTCTTAAAAATAAAAAATATTTAAATTCGTAGTTTTCTAGATTTTGGGAATAAATCGTTGTATAGAGATGGCATTTCCAAATATTGCTGATAAACTTTTCCATAATAATCGTGTTTATATTTGGATAATTATTTGCAATTTATACGGACTTTATTGGCTTTTATTTCGTCATGCGTATATTTTTAATGGAATAACATTCGAAGTTTTATTAGATCCGTTAACCGGATATGTACCTTTTAGAATGGAGATTGTTTGCAAAAATAATTATTTTTAATATAAAATTATCAATTTAGTTTCAACAAAATTTATTCGACATAACTTTACATAATATAATATTAGCTATAAGTTCACCAATAATTTATGCAGTTTTTATAATTTGCTTTTTCTTCAAAGCCAGGGAACTTTCTAATCGTGTTACAAAAGAGGAGAAAATGGTTCGTTTGTAATTATTTCTGATTCAAGCTAAAATCCTTAATCGAAAAGCCACAAGCTAAAAATACTAATTGGTAATTTTCCAATTTTCCAAGACCAAGACTAGACTCTTGGACCAAGACCGGAAAAAACCCAAGAAAAGTTTTGAGTCAAGACTCAAGACTAAAGTCATGCACGCCTCTACTAATTGGGATAATCTTGAAAATGTCTAGTATTTTGCGCAACTATTCCGCTACTAAGTCGGGCCATTAAATAGGATTCCCATTAAAAGAGCTTGCTTAATTTATTTTTAAAGGTTTTCCTTCAAGTATTTATCATTTCAATGTTTAATACATCTACAGGAATTGTTTATTCCTATAATTTAAAAAATCCAGATAGTGGATATTTTCTTCAAATGTTGGCACATTTTTCTTGGTAATTATTCTATTTTGTTGACTCTGGTTATATAATAAGATATTTTGGATTTTTGCGAATTGAGTGGGGGGGGGAATAGTCAATGATCGACTTTTGCCATAAATATTGACCAATTATGGCATTATATGTATCTAAGGTGGATATATAACCGAAGACGCCTTTACAAAATGGTACTCAACAAAATGGCTTAGGGAGGTGTGTATAATAACTTTGTTAACCTTTTGCCTTTTTTGATTACCATTTTGTTTGAACACGTAACCAATTGTCACTATAACCAGGGTCAACTTTCTTATTTTTCAGGTTGCATATCCATGGTAAGTTACATGTTTTTTTTTAAAAATACGGATATCAATGATTACTTATCAACCCAGAAAAAATATAAATATTTAAAAATTAAAGTTTTAATAAATAATTAATTTAAAGGTTTCCCACCAATTATTTATTTAACATTAAATAAAACAGTTCGGACAGATACTTTATCAATTATCAAAAAGATCTATACAAAAAAACTTCAAACTCGAGTTTCAACTGTTGGAGGCATTACGAATATATTAAATTGAAAATTGTTTTAAAATAATTATAATCAAAAAAATTTTTTTCAAGAAATTATTAATTAAAAATAATTTTTAAGGAATTTTAAAAATGAATACTTATATGTACATATACATGTATCTCTATTTACGAACCTATAAATAAAATTTTAATTCCAACTAAAATATTTTATCTTATTATTTTAAGATCCAAATTCTACACCAAAATGTTTTATAAATAAAATTTATGAGTTGTAATATTTTATGTGTTTATAAATATTAAATTAATAGAATTACATATGTATCTTCTATTAATTTTTTAACTTAAAAATTTTATCTGCAAGCTAATTATTATTTTCGGTTTCTGACAAATTTTCTTATAATAATAAAGATAAAAATTAATTTATTAATTTCTAATATATATTGTCAAAAAATGATGTATTTATTTTGTAAGTTACACTCCTGCATCGACACAATTTTTTAAAGTTTTTCTTTCAGACTTGGATGCATATGTATAATTTTATCATTCATCCATCACATTTAAACAAAATAAAAATATTATTAAATTAAGCTTCAACTATTTCATTATTTTTCAAACATTTTTGTCTTAAAATTTCTCAGAATATAAAAATTTTAAATAATTTTTAAATTAAAAATTAATGACAAATTTTGATTCACATAGTTAAGCGTAAAATTTATTTTATTTAAACCTAAATAAAAGGATCTATTTAATATTAATAAATTATTGTTTTTATCTCATTCATCTATCATTTACACATTTTTGAGTAAAAATAGTTTATCAAAAAATCATGAAATAATTTTATATACTAAATGCCTCCCACACTTTTACTTAAATAAACATGTCAAATAAAATTTAGTATTATTTTTAAATAATTTGATGAATGTTTAGCTTATAAAATTGTTTGTTAAAATAAATATTCCTGATAAATTAAAGATAGTACCTTATTTCCTTTAAAATAATGACCAGGATCTTAAAAAATCCTCTCATTAAATAATTTATTTTTATGTTGCATTAACATTCAGAGTAATGTTAACTTTAGTTAGTTTGTCATTTTTTAAACCTATTATAAAAAATTCCATGTTTTATTTTTATTTAGTATTTACTTTTCTTTATTTAAATTAAAATTTTTATTATCAAATGTGTTATTTAGAGTTTGTCGTCCGTTTAAAAATTTTCCAGTACAAAATCCAAAAAAATAAATGAATATTCAATTTAATTAGCTATAAAATCTAATGACGATTGAATTAAAATATATTCTAGTATTTTTTATTAAACAAGAGTTTAGTGGTAGTTTCCACCCCTCGTCATTTTTTAATAGGTTTCTAATTTAACACTGTTAGTTAGAGTTTTTGGACCCAGAGGGAGTTTCTAAAATATATAAAGCTGCTCACAGCGGATGACAGATAATGACTTAAAAGTTATATAATAAAACAAACCTTTTATAAAATTTAATTCAATTAAGTTTGTTTTATAAATTTTAATCGAAGATTCAGCTTTTCGGAGTTTTCCGAATAATCGGTGATTTTCTAATAACTACATAACATTCCCAATTATATAAATAGTTCTCTATTAGAATCAAAATATAACAAAATATTTAAATATAATTTTTAGGGTCTAATAGTGAAAATATTAATTAAAAAATATTTATTTAAAATGTATTTATCAATAATTCAATGTAATAAATCAAAAATGTTTAAAAATATTATATTAGCCTCATTTTCACTATTAATTTTGGCTATAATTATTCAAAATAATCAAGTAAATTCTTTAACAATTCCAGATAAACAATTGGTAATTTTAAAGAATAAATAATTTAATTCAAGGATTTGAGAATTGGATAACCTGCCTTTTTTTTATTATTTTAAATTTTCAAAATAATTAATAATTAATGTTTAAATTAACATCAAATTTTATTTTTCATTTTTTTATTTAAAGAAATGGGTGTTCAAACCTGTACCAGCGGATATTTCAATTTTATCAAATGATGAAATTATTATTCCTCAAAGGAGGACTCACAACCAGAATAAAAGAATGGCAGAAGTTGGGAAACGAGAAAGAATTATTTTGGTATTTTTTAAAACTATTTAGTGATGGATATTTCTTATTTAATTATCTTAATTAAAATAATTGATTTTATTTAAACAGGATTCATTGGGTGGAAATGATTTTCTTATTAAACGATCTGGCATTTAGAAAGTATCAATGTAAAAATAGATGCCATGATATAAATAATATTAAGATATTTTATTGTCAAATATGCTTCTCTCCTTCTTTATTTTTGTTTATAAATAAATGTTTCTGCATTCTCGATAATAACGGATTAATAAAAAAATGTTTGTTAATAAATTTCACTAATCATTTTTTAAATAAAAATGCTTTATAAGATATTACATATATGTTAAATATGTACCTATATCATATAATGAGTAACTTCCCGGTTCCAAAAATTAAAGTGTTCTAGACAGATAAAATTATATTTTAAACCGAGATTCTCGTCCTTTTTGTTCTTATTATAATTATTTCGATCTCGGAAGAGAGAATCTCATACTCAGAATGATTTCACTTTTTGATATGGATATCTCTAAAAATCGAAAAAATAAAGATATATTATCTCAATAGCCAAGAATTTTATTAGAGATCTCGTCCCAGTCCGATCTTTTGACAAAAACTGATCGTAAATTAAAAATATTTTTGAATATAAAAAATTTCTTTATTACTTCGCATTCAAATATCTTTTATACCTAAAAAAGTTTAAGAATACTTAAAATAAACTGACTTATTCAAAGTAATTTTAACGCATCACAGCACTTCTTTTTAAGTTTATTTGCTTGTTTTTAGGGTTATTGCAAAGTTTTTAATTTTACAGAATTATTTTCTAAAAAAATAATTTTAGAATAACTTTTCGATTTTATAGGTAAATAAAAGCTTTGAGTGCCTTATTTTATTTCAAAATTAAAATTTTATAAACAAAAATACAACTTTAAAATACTAACTATATTAGCATTTTGAGTAAATAATTTTCTTTAAATAATTTAATTTTCAGAATTTCCTTAGAAAAATTTAATTTTAATTTCTAAAAACAAATTCCCCTCTCTCTCTCCATTATTTTTTTCCTCTCCTATTTTTCTTCCAACTTTTCAGTTTCTACCTCAATTTTATCTAAATTCAGATATATCTTTTTGAATGTCTAAACATTCCCTCGGGGTTCCCCTTAAAGAATCTTCTTTCTTTACTTTATTTTGATAGAAGAAGGACATTACTCCACGTACCAATAAATATAAATATACTTTTATAAAAATATAAAAAATAAAACATTTCATTTCCACCTTCTTCTAAGATTAATTGTTTTATTTAGAATTATGTATGTAATTTCATTTTTATTAAAAAATAATTAGGATTTTAAAGGTTAAAGTTTTGGTTTTCATTTTGTGTTTCGAATTCAGTTCTGATCAAAATTTCGATTCAGGCAAAGCACAGAATTTCCAAAATTCCTTACTTCAACTCAATCCAAATCCCTTACTTCAACCCAATCTAAATTACTAACTACAAATTTTTATATAGAATTTCTATTTTCCTTTAAGCTTGGTAATTGCCACAAATTGAAACAAAAGAGAAATTTAACCTTCTTAAATTTACCCTATAATATGACACTTTTAAAGCAAAATAAATATTAAAAATTGTTTCTTTTTTGTTTGTTTTTTTATTTATTTTTGTTTGTATAAATTGCTTCTTTTTATTTAAAATATTTTCCCATAAACACTCTCTTACGTGTCACCTATTTTTAAGTGCCATCCTCTTCTTTTTTAAGGACAGAAAATTACTTTAGAATTTTTTCTTCAAATTTGTAGGTATATTTTTTAATTTAATCCATATTATTTGAACATTCTTTTCTTTTAAGTTTTATTAAATTTCTTGACATAAGGGAAAATAGTTGTAGGTGGGGACTGGATTTAGACACAATTACTTGGACCTGAACAAAAATTAATATTTATCTAGGTGTAATTTCATTATTGTCTGAACAAAATTAGTACAAGATTATTTAAATAAATTAATTACTTTTATTTTTTCTTAATAAATTTACTTTGTTTTTTGCACTGTATTATTTAGATCATATTTTTATATTTCAGAAAAACTTTAAAAAATGTTTTTGCCCTTTGTGCCATTTAGAGCAAGTGCTGCTAGAAGAGAACAAAATAAGAAAGAACGCCGTCGAAGTGCTGGAAGTCTTTCTGTTGCAGCAGCACAGCGAAGAAGAAGAAAGCGGATAATGACTAGAGTTAATATTTAAATATTATACAAATTTTGGGTGAAATTTAGTTACTTAACTTATAAATAAAAATTAATAAATTTATACATACAGTCAATAAAATTAAAAAAATAAATTTAAATAAAAATATTTTTAAAAAGGCGACATGGACTGCAAGTAGTAATGCTGAAGGAAGTACATCTACAAGATTGTTAAGTATGTTTTAGAATAATTTTATATATTTGTGTTTTTGACGGGTTTAGTTTTTTTTATTGAACGCTATCTTCTTTTATTTTTAATTTTGCCAATATTTTATTTTCATTTTCTATTGATGTGCGCATCTAAAAATACTAATTAAAAACTGCACTATTCAAAAGCAAAAAAAATATATATTAATAATTAAAATTATTTTTATATATTTTTTTGTTTTTAGGGAAAGGAGGGATATACCTACTATCCATTCAGTAATAATAATATTCTTTTATTTTTTTATAAAAATAATTTGCGCGCTTAATTTTAGCTTTAAAGCATTATTAAAGATATTAAGAGCAGCTGGATTTTTTTACTTTTTAATGCCCTTTGGCAGTTATACTATTAAGATGTAATGCCACACAATGCTAAAGCATTAATTATTTAATATTTTTCGAGTAATATTTAAATATATATTTTAGTTAAATTATTTTTTATTATACACATTCAAATTTATTTAATAAAAATATTTAATTATTTATTTACTCCCTTCCTCCTAATTAAAAATAAAAATCTACATACATATTTTATTAATTTACTAAAAATATTTTTTTTCTTTTTTTTAACTTCTTTTAGTAAAATTTTTAAAAAAGTTAAGCTAATATTGGAAAAGAGTCTTTTAAATATGATAAATGGTTAAAAAGATTAGTAGTTATTTTTAAATTTCTAGAATTTATTAAAATACATACGACAAAACGAATTTTATTTTCAGTTTTTTGTCTGTAAAAATGTTCAAAATTTTTGATAATTATATATCTTAATTTATTGAAAAAAGTTTATAAAATATTTTGAATATCCATACATTTGTTTATAATTTTCTTTGATTTATTCTTTATTTATATAATTTATTTAAGTATTTTTCACCTAACTTAAATAATTTAATTTTAAAAAATTATGCAAATCTCTCACAACATTTTCACAAATTTATTTTTTCTAAGATTTTTATTTAAACATTTTATTTAAATTTCTTTCCTTTAAAAATAAAAGTTTTTTCCACTTATTGCCAAGAAAAAGCCTTTTATTGTTATTAAATTGATTTTGTCTTCAGAAAATATAATAATAATGCAATATTATGAAGAGGTTAGTATTAAAATAATAATTGTAAAAAGAAATAAAATAATTATTTTTTTAATAAAAAATTTTTTTTGAAACATGTTAAATTTTAACTTTAATTATACGAAAATTATTTAGTAAAGAGTTTAACAAAAAATTTCTCACCAGTCAGTATAACACCTTAAGTGTTTGTTAATTTAATGTATATTAAGTTTAGAATTTAATCATATATTTATCTTTATTAACAAAATTTAATTATTTTAATTTACCTATTTTTGTTTAAAATTTTTTATATCTTTTTGTTTTTTTTTATTTTTAATTAATAATCTTACAATAATTATTAAGTATTTCTGTAACGGTTTATTTTGTTTCCCGCATCTCCTTACTTTATTTATTCTCGGGGTTTAGAAGTTCTTTTGGATTTTAAGATCGATTTGGTCGGGAACTACATTAATTTATTGGTAATTGTTTTCGGTTTGGATTAGTGTTCGGCAAATGGATTTTTTCGGTACCGGTACCGGGAGTACCGAAAAGTACCGGTACCGAACGAGTACCGAAAATTCCCAAATCTGTTCGGGACGGTTCCGGTACCGGGAGTACCGAAAAATCCCGATACCGAAAAGTACCGAAGAAAAATTTTCGGGAGTACCGCGGTATTTTGGTACTGACAAAAAAATGAAAAAATATCTCAAATATCACTGTTTAAACGTTATCTCACTAAATTAGATCAATATAAATTTTAAAATCTAAGTTTATGAGATGAGTATGCTTTGTAACATTAATCTAGTTAAAGGATTTGAAGGATATCATGGGATTATGAACGATACAGTGGGATTTTATGAAGGAATTTGGTGATTAATCCACGATATCACTTAAATCTCCAGTTATCCTTTCAAATCTACGATCTCTTCAATCCCTTTAAATCCATTACAATAAATCTCCTGATATCCTTCCAACTCTTTTCATATCCCCGCAATCCATAATATATCCTGATATCCCTCCAAATCTTCTCATATCCCCGTTACCCCTCAGATCTCCTGATATCACTCCAAATCTTCTCATATCCCCATTATCCCTCAAATCTACTCATATCCCTCCAAAACATTTCATATTCCTAATCCCACAAATATCCTGATATCCACTTTAATCCCTCCAAATCCACCGATATCATCCCTAATCTCCTCAAATCCGTCATTATCACCTTTATTTCCTTCAGATCCCCTTATTAAACTAGGTCTTTATTGTATAGGTCTTCAGAGTTAGTGTCAAGAGGTCAACCCTTAATCCTTCAGTACTTAAATCGGGGATAAATGGAGATTTTAGGGATAGGAGAAGCTTAGAAGGGAAATTTTTGAAAATTTTTTACAATATTTATCAGTTTTACTAGCAATATTTTTCATATTTTTCGTCAAATTTCCCAGTACCGAAAATTCGGGAGTACCGCGGTACTGGAATTTTGTTCGGGACGGTTCCGGTACCGGGAGTACCGAAAAGTACCGGTACCGAGTGGTACTGAAATTTTCCAAAATCTGATCGGGACGGTTCCGGTTCCGGGAGTACCGAAAAGTACCGATTTGGTACTTTCGGGAGTACCGCGGGAGTACCGAACCGTGCCGAACACTAGTTTGGATCTTTTGGATTATATTAATTGATGTAAGCTGACCAAAGCGGTACCAATAAGCAACAGAACATCACAAACCAATTTCTATAGTTCTGAATCAAAAAGAGAAAATTTGTGGAGCGAATACATAAGACTATTCTCGCTAATTCTTTGGAAAGTTTTGAATTCTTCTAAAAGCCATTTTTCATTCTATTATTGCCAACTATCCATTTTTGACAAAAAATTATATAAAAAGTTTGTAAAGAAAAAAATTTTTACTTCCCCAGGGATGTTGGTTATTTCTGATTTTGTCACCTTTTACTTATTTTGCGGTTTATTCTTTGAAGATAAAATTCCAGCGATTTTTTATTATTAAATAGGCCAAAAGAGAATGGAATAGTCTAGCATTATTATATGTTTGTATGGATTTTATGATTATTTTTATTTAAATTTAAATAGGGGAAGTTGGATTTTTTGAAGGTTTCCTTAAACATGTGGAATGAATTTTTAAATTTAAAGTTACTTTAGCTGTAGAAAATAATATGATAATTATCAAAATTAACTGAAATATTTGTATTTTTTCATAGCCATATATTTTTGTAATTATTTACTAATCTTGGCTTTAGGAGAATATTTTTATTGTTTCAAATAAACTTTATTTTTATATTTTAATCTATAAATAAAATTATTTTAAAATAACTATTTTTAAGAAAATATTTAAAAAGTTTGTATATTTCTTTCTTTTTGCCTTCTTATATATTGCCTTTAATTTCCTGGCACATTGGCCAAATAATCTAATTTTGCGCGCTTCAGCAAAAAATTTGTATTTTTAGTTTAGCTTTCTATTTAACGCTAGCTACTCTTTTAAAGCTTTTTAAATGATTTTGCGAGAATTTTAAAAAGAATTTTAAAAAGAATTTATATTTAATATTATTTATTTCCAAAAAGATTTCAAAATTTATTAAATATAAATTTAAAGTGTCGAAATTTGGCACTTTTACTTACTTTTTAATATGAATTTACACACATTTTTCTTGTAGAATTTTTATAATAGTTTATTTTCTTAAACTTGATTAATTAACAATTTATATTTTAAACAAAAACAGATTATAGGTAATTTAAAAAATATTTTTAGACGCAGATGCATCATAATTAGACTCATTAAACAACATTTCCTGATTATTCCTTTTACCAGGTCATGGTAATTTTCGTAACTCCTCATTCTCTCTCCAAAAAATATCTGATTTTTAATTATTAACTCAAAAAATATTTAAAATTGAAATACATATTTGGATTGGGCATAAAATTTATAAATTTATTTTTATAATCAACTAATTAATTTCTCTCTTATAAAATTGCACTTTTATTAACTTCTCTATTAAAATGTCCTCTTAATTTAAACAAATCCTCCTTTATTTTTTTCTCATTTTTATTCTCCAATTTGTTGTTTCCTCTTTTATTTTTAAGGTCCAAAATTGTTCCCAGCTGGTTACCCTCCAAACTAAATATGTATATACATATGTATTTATTTATTTTCCCCCCTTTTTTATTTCTGCCAGATTCAGCTTTTGTCCAAGTTGTGGCAGTTTTTAAGTTAGTTCCGGGAGAATTTATTTCCTTTTTTACTCTTCTTCCGTTTTTATTTCTTTTCTTCTTTTTTCAATTCCCTATATACTTACTCCCCTCCAATCGCTCGACAATCGAAACCGTTTCCCTTATTTTTCCCCCAACTTTATTTTTTTATTTGTTTGACTTAAAGTGATGAAAGATTTTTAAAATTAATTCTTCAAAAATTAAAAAAAAATTATGTTATAAAAATTTGTTTAAAAATAATATTTATCAAAAAAATCCATTGATTATATCAGCGGATATAGTATCAAAATGTTTTATTTATTAAATATAAATTAAAATTAAATTCTGTCAGAAAATTTCTTAAAATAAATTACAAATTTTAGAAAGGGGGCACAATGAAAGTTCTAAAGCCTAAAAATTAACTTAAAAATTAAATTTAAACAAAGGCAAATAAAAATCAGTAACAAAAACATTAAACTTTTTTTATTTTCCAAATAAAATCCCAAGGGCGCCATTTTTCTTTAGAGAACGACTTTTTTTTGAAAAAAAAAACAATTTAGTTATTTTTAATTTAATTCAAACCAGGCCTGAAAAATATTTTTATTTCGACTAATTAACTATTTAGTAATCTCGAATATTTTTATACATTTCTTTATTAAAATCACTTTTTCCTAAGAAACCTTTTAAAAATAAAAGTATTTTAAAAAGTAATTCTAATTTATTAGAAATTATAGTTACAAGTCACAATAATATTTATTTATTTATATAAAACCTTCCCACGTGACATTTAATCCATTTTATTATTCATCGCAACTCCTCATTATTTGCATAAATAATATCTAAATGTTTTTAGTATTTACATATATTTCCAAATTAATGTAAAAACATTTAAATTACTAAATTAATTGCTCTTTTTATTCAAAAATAATTTTTTTAATTAAAATTAAATTTAAAAATTCTTTCCTTTTTTCCTTAAATCTTTATTAATTTCTTTATATATTTTAATAAAAATGGCCCGTAAAAGTTTTGATTATTACCAATCTGGTTCTTCAAATTATGGCCCTCCTTTTATTGGAAGTAATAATAATAATAACGTTGGAGGGCCACCTCGAAAGATGAGTCTAATTGTGATGCAACAGCAACGAAAAAAGTCGTTATGTATTATTCCAAAGCCTTGGGGAGATTCTAGTGATTATTACTCTACAACTAGTGAGATATATATAAATATTTTTTTGGATATATTTTATGCAGGCGAAATTTTTAAAATTATTTTTAATTTGAGTGTATTTAATTTTGAACAAAAATAATTTTTATTATTTTTGCTATAATTTTGACTGAAAATATTTTTTAATTTTAATAATGGATTATTATTTAATATTTTATTTTTAAATTTTTTATGAAATTTTCTTTAAAGATAAAAATTTATGTATTTTTAGTTGCAAAGGCAGCGTTTCTCTCTTCCACGATGCTGCAACAGCAACAGCAACAAACATCTACGAGTACTCCACAAACTAATCAACAACAATTAAAACCAGGTATATTTATTTAATTATGCTTTAATTTAATTAGTAATGAGAAAATAAAATTTTAAAGGTCAGAAAGTTCGTCCAGACGATAGACGTAGAAGTGGTCTCGGTACAATTAAAGAATGCTCTAATATTGGTATTGGGTTAACACAAACACAATTAATGACACCAAATTTGGCTAACAAACGGGATTCTATGGCTATGGTACTGTAAATGTTAAAATAAATATCCCGGGGTAATTGTTGTTTCAATTCCTCGATGGAGGGATAACTTTAAGGATAAGTATCTTCGAATATTCAGTCCTTTATATGTTTAAATATAAGAAAATACGAATAAATAAGAAATTTTTTAATAGATAGCCGATTTATTGGCTGCCACTTCTCTTGGTCCTGGAAGGAAATTGCCTCAATCATGTAATAATTAAAACCATTTATTATATCATTAATTATTTTAAGCACTTCTCGAGCACCCAACAGCCAAAAGAATTCTTAAATTAGCCTGCCTAATTTCCCTCATAAATGTTTGTTTTCACACCCCTCGGACCATTCAATTAATTCCAAATTTAAATTTGGCATTAATTATTGGGGATGCTTTTGTTGTTGGTGTTTTTACATTAGAAGCATTTACACGTTCTGCAATTCTTGGATTAATTCAAGTAATTAATTTTTTAAAAACAATTTATTAAAAAAATCATTTTTAGCGTCCAGATTCGTATTTACGTGATCGTTGGTGTCAATTCGATTTTTTACTTTTACTTTTTCATTGGGCATCCTGGATTCTTCATTTATATCAAATTGGGGTTAAACATGTTTTCCCTTCATTTGGTTTTGTTTATTATGATTGGCTGGGAATAATAAGATGTGTTAGGCCTATGATAATTCTTCGATTAATAAGTAAATTTTTAAGAAAGAAAAGCTACAAAATAATTTTCTTTTAATTAATTTAATTTAAAGGACTAATGATAACAGTAAAAGTCCCAAGACAAAGAATACAGCAACTTCTCAAGTATCTAATAATTTTTATTTTTAAAATATTATTTTTTAAAAAGACGTTCAAGTACTCAAGTTCAAAACGTGACAGTTTTCTTTCTTTTCTTTATGGCTTTATATGCAATTATGGGTATACAATTATTTGGAAGGATGGATTATCATTGTGTTTTGCCTGGAACTGATCCAAAAAATGTTACAATAAATGATTTGGCTATTCCAGATACTGTGAATATTTAAAATAATTTTTAAAAAAATTATAATTTGTTTAATATGTATAAAGATGTGCTCAAAGGATGGTGGGGGTGGATATGAATGTCCAGAAAATATGGAATGTATGGTAAGTTTCTTTTAAGAAAAATTAAGTTTAAAAAATATTTAATAAGAAACTCGATTTGAGTGCTAAAAGTGAAGGATTTTATGGAATGTTTGATCATTTTGGTTTTTTTACATCGGATTATTTTACAAAAAATTTATTCGTTTAGGTGCTTCTGTGTTTACTGTTTATTTAGCTGCATCAGAAGAGGGTTGGGTATATGTCCTTTATGATTGTCTAGATTCTTTACCTTCACATTTTGCTTTTGTTTATTTTGTTACTTTAATATTTTTTCTTGCTTGGCTAGTTAAAGTAAATAAATAAATTAATTAAAAATTATTAATAATTTTTATAGAATGTTTTTATTGCTGTAATTACTGAAACTTTTGCTGAAATTCGGGTACAATTTAGTGAAAGTTGGAAAAAAGAGGAAAGAACAAAAATTGAAGATGATTTTAAACAAGTTTATAATGAATTATATAAAAATAAATTTAAATTTTTTAAAAGAAAATTGAACGTTCAGATGATGGGTGGAAATTAATTCGTTTAGATAAAGAAGAAAAATTAAGTCCGAGAATTAAAAAATTTCAAAATGTAAGGGAATATGTATATAGATATTTAATTAATTACTTAAATTAGATACTTCGTTCAACAGCCTTTCAATGTATTATTGTAACTTTAGTTTTGGCAAATGCGGGGATTAATGCATCTTTTGTTTATAAACATGATGAAAGTGATGCAAAAAGAAGAGAAATTTATTATTGGATTGAAGTAAATATACTTTGAGACATAAATAATGAGCACTCCTAAACCTCCAACTCTTCACAACTTAATCCTTGGATTTTGATTTTTTGCCAGAAAATAGGCAACACTCTTAGGATCATAGAAAAATATTATTCGAAGTCTGGAAACATTTAGTTGAATTTTAATAATTATTTAATTCGTTAAGCACAAGGGCATTATTAAGCATTATTTATGTCTCAACCTAAGTAAATTAAAATTAAATTAAATAATTTAAACAAAAAAAGGTAGCATTTACGATATTATTTGATATTGAATGTTTTATTAAATTACTTTGTTATGGCAAACAATTCTTTAAAAGAAATATTTATAAATTTGAATTAATATTAGTTATTGGGGGAACTTTAAATGTTTTTAAATATTTTTATCATCAAAATTATTTTACTTATTTTCAAGGTAAGGAAGGAAATTAAAAATAAAAATAAGGATTTATTTTTAAGTTTTCCGTCTTCTTCGTTTAATTAAAGCTTCTCCAATGCTCGAAGATTTTGTTTATAAAGTTTGGAAATTTAAAAATAATTTTTATTTTTTAAATTAATTTTTTTAAAGATTTTCAGTCCAGGCAAAAAATTGGGGGGTTTAGTTCTTTTTACTTTTACTTTTGCTATTTGGGCGTCAGCAGTTTCTTTACAATTATTTTGTACAGTTCCAAATTTAACACATTTTCAAACATTTCCCCAAGCATTTATGGCTATGTTTCAAATTATAACACAGGAAGGATGGACTGAATTTGTGGTTTTTGATAATAAATATCTTTAAAAAAATTATTTTTTAATTAAAAAGGTTGAAGTTTTGAGAATGATTGATGATAGAATGGTGCCTTTTGTTGCAATTTATTTTGTTGCTTATCATCTTTTTGTGACATTAATTGTTTGAAGTCTTTTTGTTGCTGTTATTTTAGACAATTTAGAAATGGATGAAGAATTAAAAAAAGTTAAACAATTGAAAGCTAAAGAAGCGGTAAAAAAATAATTATTTTTTTGAAATACATAATTAATTTTAATGATAAATATGTAGACAGCAGTTAAAACAACACTTCCTTGGCGTCTTAGAATATTTGAGAAATTCCCAACAAGACCGCAAATGGTTCATTTAAAGAAAGTAGTTAATGAATTTAATACTCCAAAAGTTAGAGATTCTTTTACTAATCAAGTATTTATTTTTAATATTTTTTTGAAAGAAAAAAATATTTTTTTTTGTTTAAAGTTTGTTTGGAGTGAAAAAGGCGAACAATCAAAACTTGCTATTTCAACTGTAAAATTACTTACACATTTAGAAAATAGTTTTTAATTATTTTTAAATTATTAAAAAAGCTTTTTTAATATTTGAAGAAGCGCAAACAAGAATGTTATCTAAATTTGCTGCTAAAAGCCGTTCATCTTCTAAAAAGCCTCAAGACAGTTGCCTTTACAAGAGATATGTAGGGCATTGTTCAATGCGGTCTCTTTTGAAAAATTTAGTGAAGTAAGCTTAAAAAATATTTAAATAAAGTGATTAATTGAAAGATTAAATTATTAAGGATAAACTCAAAATAGAGTAGCTGCTTTGCTAATCGAAATATGATTCTTGTTCATATATTTTTAAATTAAATTAATTTTATAGAGATGCTTCAAAGGAAGGGCAGTCTCAAATAGGTGGTATGGGACTTGGCCCCTCTGGCACAAAAGCAAGAGGAAAGTCAATGAGTTTTTTCGAACAAATACTTACTGAGAATGGAGATATTAATCGAGAACATGTTGGACAAACAAAACAAGCAAATACATTCTCTGGGGCGACAGCAACGGCAACTACAACAATGACAACGTCAACACGACGAGATTTGAAACAAGGGCAATTTGATATACGTGCATTACAACATAAACAACAAATGGCAGAAATTACTCGGTAATTAAATTGCCTCAAAATATTGATAATAAATTAATTTTAAAATAATTTTCGAAGAGAATTACTTATTATACTTTAAATTTCCATTAATTTGTAGTAATCGGATTGAAGAGGAAATGCGAGAAAATCACCCTTACTTTGACCGCCCATTATTTATTATTGCCCGAGATTCCAAATTAAGACGTTATTGCCATCGTATAGTCCATGCACGTTGGGGAGGGGATGGATCCATTGGTTTAGGAGATACAATGAATGGTGGTTCTAGAACAGCAAATGCTGGTGGTGGAACTAAAAGGAATAATCAAATACAGTTTTAATAATTAATTTAAATTAATTATATTTATTAACAATTTAGTGAATTGTTGGGATTGATGCCTTATTTGGATTGGACAATGGTGTTGATTACATTGTAGTTTTATTATATTTAATATTAATCTCAACATCTTTATTTTCATTATTTATTAGAATCTCCTGTGGTTCTATGCTTTTCGAAAATCCCTGGCCAACTACTGGCGAAAATTTAGTTATGTTTAACTTTTATTTGCAGGTGCATAATTGAAATTAACTTAATTTGAAAGAATTTATTATTTTATAGATTCCTGATTATTTATTTGTTTTGGCAATGACTTTGGAATTAATTGCCAAAATGATTGCAGATGGTCTCTTTTTTACTCCAAATGCTTTAATTAATGATTTTGGGGGTGTAATGACTGTTTTTATTTATTTGGTTATTTAAATTCTTCCATAAATTATTTTTTAAAAATTATTTAGACGAGCTTAACATTTTTAATTTTAATGCCAAAACATGTTGAGATTAACTCTTTGGAGCAATTTTTAATGATTTGTCGAGCAATGCGTCCTTTAAGGATTTATACTTTAGTGCCGCATATTAGGCGTGTTGTGTTGGAATTATTTCGCGGATTTAAAGTAATTTTATAAATTTTAATTTATAGTAGGATATTTTAATTATTTATTCCTAAATCAAATTTTCTTCCAAAGCCTCTACCTCTTTTTCCAATTTATTCCAAATTATGTCCAAATATTTTTTCTGACAACTTATACTTAATTATTCTAGATGGTCTTCATCTCTTATTTTAGAAAATATTCATATATTCCTCCAACCTGAAAATTATCTTCATTTATTTTTAAATTTTATCCCAAATGAATTTAAAATAATTTAATATTAATTAAACTTTTCTAAATTACTTTCAAAAGGAAATATTACTTGTAACAATTTTAATGATTGTTGTAATGTTTATTTTTGCTTCTTTTGGTGTCCAAACTGTTGGAGGTAAATTAGCTGCATGTAATGATTTAACTATTAAACATCGAAATGAATGCCATGGTGTTTTTTGGCAAAAAGTTTTTGTAACAAGATTAGAAATTTACGGGAAAAATAATGATACAATGCATCCAAAAGTGTTGGTACCTCGTGTTTGGTTATTTTATTTTACGAAAATATTTTATTTTAAATTTTAGGACGAATCCCCGAAATTTTAATTTTGATCATATTGGAGCTGCAATGTAAAAAATAAAATATTAAATTATTTTTTATACCTTTTTTAGGTTAGCTTTATTCGAAACACTCTCATACAAAGGATGGAATGTTATTAGGGATATTCTTTGGGCACGTCAAGGACCTGTAAATTTTATTTTTCCTTTAATCTCTAAAATAATTTGTATTATAGTGGGCTGTTGTATTTATTCACATTTATGTATTTATTGGTTGTATGATTGGACTTACATTATTTGTTGGGGTTGTAATTGCTAATTATACTGAAAATCGAGTAATATAGATAGACTAATTAATTTAATAAAAAAATAATTAAAGGGAACTGCTCTACTTACAGTTGACCAACGTCGATGGCATGATTTAAAAGCTCGTTTAAAAATGGCCCAACCTCTTCATATTCCCCCAAAACCCTCAGAATCAGCAATATTTCGACGAAGTATTTACGAATTAACAATGAGTAGATTTTTTAACCAATTATTTGCTGCTTTGGTTGTTTTAAATTCTGCAACTTTAATTTTCCCGTGGAATGTTGAAGAGGAAGAAATGAAGAATGAAGTTCTTTTTATTGTTACTGTGATATCGGCAGCTTTAAATTTACTTTTTGCTGTAGAGGTAGGTTTACTTAATTGGATTAATTTATCTGGATAATATAAAATAGGAAATAATTTGTTAAATTATTACTATGACTTAACAAGCTGTTTCTTATTACTAGGGCTTCTACTCATTCCATTATATCTGGACATTTTTAATATCATTTGTCATTAATTATTTTGAATCAGCTTTATGATTATTTGTAAAACTAGGAAATGCACAGCCCTTATTGGGATTAAAATTAATTATAAAAATTTCCGTTGGGTCGGCACTGTTAAGTAAAAATTTTGATTTAATTTATTTATTATTTGATTAGAGATTCAATTTGCCCTTCTTTAGGTTCTACTCAAAATGTTTGCCTTTACTGTAACAGGATTTTGGCAAAGTCGACGTAACCGGCTTGACCTTTTAATTACAGGGATGGGTAAATAAAAGTTTTTTTAATATTAATTAAATTTAATTACAGGTTTATTTTGGATAAGTACTCATTTCTTTGTTGCACTTCCAGCTAGTGCTGTAGGTGGTGAAAGTAGACTTAAACGTTTTACTTATACTTTTGGATATATTGTTGTTATTTTACGTTTCTTTACTATTGCTGGTATTTTTTTAAATTTAAATTATAAATTCATTTGTGAATTAAAAATTAATTTTTTAGGTAGAAACAACACATTAAAGATGTTAATGTTAACCGTTGTAATGTAATAATTGTATTATTTTAATTCAAAATTTACTTTAAAATTTGATTTTCACTATAATTATAACTTTAAAATTAATTAAAAATTAACATAAAGGTCAATGTTTCGATCATTCTTTATCATCATGGCAATGGTTTTACTTGTTCTCTTTTATGCTTATACGGGTGTTATTCTTTTTGGGATGGTCAAATATGGACAGGCTGTCTCTAAGTTGGCCTTACAAATTTTTAAATTCCTTTCACCCAAAATTTCTATAGACACGTCAATTTTCGTTCTGGGTCAGAAGCTCTTGTTGTATTATTTCGAAGTGTTACTGGAGAAGATTGGAATGATATTATGCATGATACTTCAAGAAGTGCCCCTTTTTGTTATTGGCTTCCAGGTGCAAATTATTGGGAAACTGATTGTGGAAATTATTTTGGTGCTATAATTTATTTCTGTTCTTTCTATTTAATTATTACCTATATTGTTCGAAATTTATTGGTTGCTATAATTATGGAAAACTTTTCTTTATTTTATTCATCCGAGGAGGATGCTCTTCTTTCTTATGCAGATATTAGAAATTTTCAAATGGTGTGGAATGCCGTTGATGTTGAACAGAAAGGGCAGATACCCGTTAGAAGGGTTAAATTTTTGTTGAGATTATTGAAAGGGCGATTGGAAGTTGATCCAAATAAAGATCGTTTACTCTTTAAACATATGTATTTATATAGAAATTTTTTTGTAAATTATTTTCTTGAAAGGTGTTATGAAATGGAGAAATTGCATAATGGGGATGATGTTTCCTTTCAAGATGTTCTTTAGTAAAGAAAAACATTTAAAATTTGAACAAATTATTATTTATTAATTAAGCATGCTTTCATATCGAAGTGTTGATATTCGCAAGTCTTTACAATTGGAAGAACTTTTACAACGTGAAGAGCTTGAATATATAATTGAAGAGGAAGTAGCCAAACAAACGTAAAAACAATTTTTTTATTTTTAAAAATTTTATTTTTAGAATAAAAACTTGGTTAGAATTTTGTCTTAGACAAATGCGTTCACCTGGACTGCCACCATCTCAACAGCAACAACAACAATTTACACAACAAAAACAATTACAACAACAAACAGCTAGTAGCCGTTCATCGGTACCAATTCATAAACCATCAGCATTTACATTCTCAGCAAAATCTATTTATGGTTGATAATTACATTTATTTAAAAATCTGATTCAGAAATTAATGATACACAAAAAATAATTTTTTAAGGATTAAGAAGGACCTCCTTAAAAATCGCCTAAAAATCAAGATTAAAAATAAATCTTTTTTCTCTTCAAGCTTTTGACTCAGCAACTTTAGCAGCAGCTCATTCAAAAGTTGCTATTGAAAGGCATCAACGTCAAAGTTTAGGTTCTCCCCGTATAAGCCCTTCTAAACAATCTAAAATTGTTGATGATAAAGAATTTGTCGGTGAAAATGTTGATGGAAAGGAAGTATTTTTAGAAGAAGAAAATATTGGAGAATTAAATAATAATTATCAGCCACAAAGAAAATCGAGTTTAAGCGATATTTTAGAAGTAAAAATTTGAGAGAAGAAAATGCTTTAAAAACATTTTAGGGGGCATCACGTCGATTTGCTAAAAGACCTAGTGGATCTAAAAAATCAGTTGTAGCCCTCCCTTTTGAACGTTTGTATGCTGATCAGTCTTCACCTCCACCATTTTCTTTCTCTTCTACTTTTAATCAACAACAACGAAACAGATCTCAAACACAACGTACACTTCAGGTGGTTTACATTTACGGGAAAAACGAAGATTTTGGAATTTTATTTCAAATGCTTCCTTCTTTACTAAACCTTTAACTTGAATTTTTTCAAAAATCTTGTTGAAAACCCATATATATTTTGTAAAAAGACTTGAAAAATAATTTACAGCTTTCTGCTCATGAATTGCTTCCAGATTTAGAAGAATCGCAGAGTGAAGAAAATCAATTAACTGTTGGCAGTGGAAGTAGTATTATTGTAAACAAAAGAGTGAAGAGCATTGAACATGTAAATTATTTGGATAATTTAAAAATTTCTCTTAAAAATGTATTTCCTCATTTAGAGCCCTCCTCGACGAAAAATCAGTTCCTTGTTACGACTCGGTTCCTCTGCTCCAACTTCAGCAACTTCTCATACTTCATTACCACAACAACCACTATCACGAAAAACTTCGACAGCCACAAGTGAAATAAATTCTGGACAAAAACAACATAAACACAGTGCTAATTCTCCCATTTACGTTTTGGAGGAGAGCACAATAAAAGTAAAATTAAAACAAAATTCGTTAAAATCTTTTTAATATTTTTTTTTATTTTAAAGACAGAAGAACAAGAATTTCCACCTCCACTTTCAAATGAAGAAGTAAGTTTAAATAAGACACAAATATTAGTTGATGAAGTTAATGATTGGTGGGGAGAAGATGAAGATGGAAATAATTTGAAGGAAGATGAGGAGGAAGAGGAAGACGGAGGAGAATATGAATATAGTTGAAGCACTCAAATAACTATATCCAGATTTAAATGTCAATGACTTAAGAGAATGAAGAGAGATAGTATCGTAACGGAAGATTTCTATACATATATATAATAAGTTTTTAATAAAAATGAAATATTTTTTTGTATTTATTGCTTAAAATAAATTGTTAGACTTTATACCTCTCAACTATTTACTTGTTATATGTATATTCTAGATTAAATTTTAAATTAAATCAAATTTATTTTTAACATTTCTAATGTACTAATATTTTAGTTTAAAACAAACAATGTTTATTTAAATTAATATAAATATATTTATTATTTTATTTTATTTTAGCGAATTCATCGATTGGAATTGCATTCATCCTCTCTTATTTAATAGTAGACTATTGACAGCCATGTCAGCTCTATCCAACAAATATACACTAAAAACTATATTTATTTTCCCTTCAATTTGCTTTTTAATAAAATAAATTATTTTTAAATTAATTTTATACTTAAAACAAAAATAAAATTAATTTTATGCAATAATCAAAAATTATTTAAATCATTAATACATTAAATTAATAAATTAATATTAAATTGTATTAAATTAATAAAATGTTACATAAATTTAAAAATATTAACTAAAAAGTATTTATTAAATAGTTAAAATTTATTTGCATTTTTTTATTTTAGAAAAATAACATTTTATTTAAAAAATAATTTTTATTTTTATTTTCTGTTAAAAAATGGGAAGTGTGAATTCTAAAATCGATGATAGTTGGCGTATGTATGTTTTACATATTTTAGTAATTTATGTATTTTTTACTATAAAATTTATTTTAAATAAAATTTTTGAATATCCTCAAATCGAGGAATGATATGGAAAAAATTCTGTTTATCTGGAATCTCGAGATTTCCCGTTAGCCGAATTTTGCAGCCCTTAGAAGGAGGCGATGTCGGATAGGCCGTCGTTGTTATTTAGAAATTCAATTTATCTCTAAAATTTTATTAATTTTTAAAAGTAAAATACTACCAAATTATTATTTAAAATTTTTAGCGATACAATACCTTGTGGGCATTACAGATGCTCCACTGCAACTGAAATTTGGCGTAATCGTATTTTTTTATATGGTAAATATATTTACGAATATTTTTTTCAAAAAATATTTTTAAGGCCTTACACATTCCATTGTTGTAGTTAAATATAAATGTGACTATTGTGAGAAAGAATTCTATAGATCATATGATTTTACAGTTGATGGAGTGCGTGTAAGGTGTGTTTTTCGAATCTTATTTACCCAAGAATTTCTGAATATTCAGCTTTGGAAGGCCAGAAAAATCAAAAGTAATTTATGATTGGAAAGTGCATTGCACTGAGGGATTAACGTTTAGTCAAATTGAAAAACTTTCTGAAAATGTTAAAACTACTGTCCGTTTCTTCTTTTCAGCAGAAAAATATGATTTATTAAAATATAATTGCCATGATTGGGCACTCGATTTTGAGAAGCTTCTACGATCTCAAAATAATTGTTCGGGGAAATGCCCAGGCTGTAAAAAATATAAATTGGAATATTTTCCACTTAAAATTAAAACTTGGATGATTTCTGATGCTGCAAAATTATCTTTTATACTATTGAATGTACATCTTGGAAATAATCAAAGGGAGGAAAAAAAGTATAAAAACTTTGGATTTTAGTAAATATGCATAAAAATTGATCAATCTGTTTGTTAAGGGTTGGTTGTTCAGTTGGTTGTTGGCATTCTTTTTTTTAACCATTTAGGATATAACAATTTCTAAAAATCTCAAAAAATTCGAGACCAAGGCAAGCCCAAAACAACAACTGAAAAGGCAATCTTATGTATAAAATAATCAAATTAAGACTTCATCTTTTTATTAACTATTTTACTCATGTATCATGTAACTTTCATTTATTTTCTATTAAAAGTTTGTTCAAAATTTATTCCACAGATATACTATTTACTATTAGTATATATGTAATTATTTTTAAAAGGTTGATTTCAAGTTTATACAGTAAATATTTCCATTTTGCATTTAATATTTTTTTATAATTTTCAAAATAAAATGGTTTCTATTAAATTAAATTTTTTATAAATAAATTATTTTATATAACTCAATTATTAATATCATTTAAAATTTTTATCGTTAAATCTTTAATATTTATGGCAATTTTATTTATAAAATAATCAAATTAAGACTTTATTAAGTAAAATGTTCATGAAGACCTATAATAGAACAGTTTATAAATTTTAATTATTGGATGAATTTAAAACGTAATTTCGTTTTAAAAATTTATTTTGTTAGAAATTGGAGTGGATATTACTTAGATAAAGTTTTTTAAATTGAGACATTTTTCCAAATTTATATACCCATCTTTGAGTTAACGGTATGGAAGTATACTCCATTATACATTTTTAACTATTAAGTGACTATAATATGGCTCATAATTGTGTATGTTTCGATATAAATTATTATTAACTTTTCTATATTATTAAATAATCTGAACATATGTAGATATTAATTATATGTAATTTCTTCTTAAACATTGCCGGCGGATATATTAAATATTTAATTAGATTGATTAAATTAATAAAAAAACAAAAACATATTCTTGTTTTCCATTCATTTTTTCATTCTTTAAACATCAACTCAACCATCATATTTTGTTAAAAAATTATCTCGATAATTGATCTCTTCAAAGAAACAACCAAAAAACTTTTAGAAGATCCTGAATTTGGATTATAATAAATATTAATTTAAATAAATATATTTTGAATTAAATATTTTTGACAGAATATTTCAAAATAAATTGATTTTTAATTTCCTTTTTGAAATAAAAAATAAAAATCATTTAAATATCAAATTATATTATATATTGTACTAGAGAATATATTAAGACATAATAAACTACATATTTCTTGATTTTTATTTAAAAGCTGTACATATGTACGATCTTGAATTTTAATGAAAAAAATTTTTCTTTTCTTCCAAAAATTTTTTTATATTTTCACTTTTTTCCTTTTTTTTATATTTTTCTGCTCCCGACAATCCAAAAATAATAAATCCTTTTTCAATTCATTTCACGTTTTGTTCAATGCCCTTAAAAATTTATTTTTGAGCAAACAAACAAAAAAAGTATTGAAAATAAAAATTTTTTTAACAAAAATACCTAAATATGTTAAGAGGTTTTTTCTTTTTAAATTCAATTATTTATTTTTAATATTCTTTTAATCATTTTTTATTGTTATTTTGGTGTTCATAAAAATAAAGAAAATTAAAATAATTCAATAAATTTTAGGTTTGAAGTTTTCACCCTTTAAAAAATTCTTTTCAAACTTTTCATTCCCATTCTTTTATTTTAGTTTATAAAAACACATTTCAAAATTTTAACAAAAATACTTTTTAGGAAATTAAAATTACTCACAATATTTTCATTTTTAATTTTCTTAGTAATTTATTTATAATATTTTTTTCATTTTACCAAAATTAGAAGTAACAATTTAATTATTTCTAAATAAAATAAAAATAGAAACAAAATTTATTTTTATGTTAAATTACCTAATTTAAATTGATTAATCAAATTTTTTGATTGTCTTATTTTTAAATTAAATTATAAACTGGTTAATAAAAACATATACATATAAATAATATGATAAGTAATTTAAAATTTATTTAATAATTCAATTTTTGATTATTCTATTTGACATAATAAAATCGAAAAATACTCAGACAAGCGTCAAAAACTTGTGGTTTTTTTAATTTAAGAAAATCCACTAATTTGTTTGGTTGTTAATTTTAATTTTGTTTAATCTTTTCATTTTATTTGTTTGACGTAATTTATCCTTTTCATTTGCCAGATAAAATTTTTCTTCTATTTTTATCCTCAAACAATGAAATATTAATCCCACAAAATAAAAGGATGATCACCTGTCATTTAAAAAGGTAAAAGTTGAAAGATTAAAAAAGAACACATTTTTATATTTGTGGGCGTTCATGAAGAATGAACTTGGAATTAAATATAAAAATGTCACTAAAAGAATAAATAAAAACACAAAAGAAAACTTTGAAATCTAATCCTGTGAAATTTTTATAAAAATATTTTTTAAAATATTTTCTAAATTTTTAAAATTTTCTTTTGAACGGAAGTATTTATTTATTTTAAAATAATCTTAAAAGTGTTGCTTTCAAGGGAAAGGGTGTTTCTTGATTTTCTTCAAAAATTAAAAATTTATTTTAATTAGATACTTGAAATTTGAAAATTAAAAATAAATATTTTATATATTTTAGGAAGGAATAAATGTCTACAGTGAATAGATAATTTTAATCACTATAAGATTTATTTTATAAAATGTCTTTTTAAAATAAGCATTAAGCACTAATCATGCTCTTTTGTCATTATTTTTTTGTTTTTATTTAATCATTTACTAGTAATCATTTATGATCTTTTTGAAAATTTCTTGTAAGATTTTACCATTGTTTGCTCAGATAAATATTGAAAAAATTAAAATATACTGTTAGTTGTTTAATGCTTTTCTGAAGCTTCACAAAAAATATTCATAAAAGTGACAGACAATTATTAAATCTAAATTTTATCAATTTCTGTATTCCCTCAATCCAAATACTTTTGTAATATTCAAATCATTCTCTCATATAATCCTTTAAAGATTTTACTAACAACCATACTTTATTTCCTTTCCCATACTGATTTAAATCATTACTTAATACAGTGCCAGAAAAAGAAGAACAAAGGCTGTTAGATTGGTCTTTTTCGATTAACTAATTTCCGATTAACTTTTAGAAAAAAAGCTTCAATACTAAAAATTAACAATCAAATTTTTGTTCGTTTATGCGTCCTTTTTTCCGGCACTGTATGTTCTAGGATAATGTTGTTCTGCGCCCTTTCTAGTTCTTTAAAATACTAATTTTTATTTTCCTATTTTTAATATTTTTAATTTAAATAATTTATTTATTTTTTAAAGTTACTATATAATCTGATAATTAAACTTTTTATT